AACAGTTCTCCTCCCAGCAGTCTCAGTGATAATTAGCTGAACACAGTAGGCCCGGTTTTTCCCCAGCAATCACTTCATAACTTCTAAAGTTGGAAGGGATCCCTGAGGGTCATCTAGTCCAAACCCCTGCCATGCAGGTCTCTCAACTAAAGCGCTGTTTCTCTCAGTTTTAATCCCTCACAGGAATCCAACTCAAGAAAAAAGAGCCAACAGCAAAGAAGCTCGCTCTCCTCTTGCTTGCAGTCAAATGAAAAAAATACATTTGCTTTTAAGGTAATCCATTCTTAAATTCCACAGATCATCTTATGTGGCTGCTGTGTCCCTTATTGATAACAATAGAGTAAGTTGGCTGGAAATAAAGGTTCTCCTCAGGAGTGTTCTGTTCTCAGGTTAAGAGCAGCATAGAGAACGAGAAGAAAGGACCCTCTGTGAAGAGTTCGAGACATGTACACCTGGATCAAGGAAGCCACAAAACTGTTTGAAAACATGTGAAGGGGGGCAGTCTGACTGCAGCAAAGGGGATCTTTTCTGGCTTAGCTAAGGCCATAACATCTGCAGCTATCTCTGGAAGGAGCATGTCATATTCCGAATTGCTTGGCCTCCAGCCTTTCTGCTCGCCTACTCCTGCCCTTTAGGCTTTGGAGACCACAAAGAACTCATTGTATCCGCTGGTCTGAAAATGCCGCTGTTTTCCACAGCTCCTTGCAGCAGGGCTGGTTCATCGCACCGCTGCCAGGTGACTGGCTGTCAAGAGCCCCAAATCCTCTTGTGTAAAGGTGAAGTCACTGCTCTGCCTGGATGCAGGACACACCCTTCCACACCTACCTTGCTTAGCTCCTCATTCCAGTTTCCCTGGTCTGACCAGTTTTTGCATGGGTTTCTTGGGAGACGACTTGGACTAGCCGTGTTTGCTTTCCCAAACAACTGATCCAACATTATGTTATTTGAGGTTTTATTACCGTCAAGCAGAATATCAAACCTGGGGGGGGGGACAAACGGTATTGTTCCTGTTTTTAATTATTCCTTTCTCACCACATTGTCATCATTTTACCTAGCAATATGTATGGTGCTTTTAAGAAGAACCATGTATGACAAGTTTCTGCCCCAAAGGGCTTACAAGCTAAAATACAGACAGGGAAACTGAGGAAAGTGTTGGGAGGAAATGGGCAAGCAAGAGATGAATATGTGGTTCTTTCAATCATATTCCTTAGCTTAATTCAGTGTGGAGAACCTTAGCCCTCCAGAGGTTTACACAATGTTGTTGAGTTTATGCCTGGTTTTGATAATTCTGAAATGAATGGCTAGTGACTTTTGATCACATGAATGCTAATGCTCCTTAATAGCTGGGTCTCCCTCTCCAGCCCTTGGAATGGAATATTCCCAGCAGATACTGAGGTGAAATGGTTTAGAGCCAGTTCTGCAGTATGAATTTCAGAGGCAGAGTGTGTGTTGATTTGGCTGAAGCATCCTTGGTGTAAAGTTGCACCTTTTGTAGACTTCATGGAGGATTAGTAGCTCTCACCTCCACTATGCTTGCCTTGCCTATTGTTTTAAAAGCAAATATTACAAAAAAATAATGATGCCACAATAGTCCTGTGCTCTCTCATTCAAAAGAAACTAATTCTGTAGTGCTGTCCCTGGAACTTCTCAACGCTTGGCAGCGGGGAACATGTAACAATATGCACATTCATTAGTGTCACAGCGTGGGACCAAAATCTGCTTCTCTTTCATTCCCAGAGAGGATGGGCAACGACGTTTTGAAAGATGCCAACTGGAACTCACTAATGCCATAATGTATGTGATTTCTGTAGATTTATACAGTTTTAGTAGAGTCCTGGTTTTTCATCGGGGGATCCAAAGCCAAACAAACAAGAAGCAATATATGCTAAACACGGCCTTCCTTTCGATGCTAAATTTCTGTCTTTCAGATGCATTCAAATGATCAAAAAACAGGCAGTACAAACTCTGCATGTTCTAGTGAGGCAACTGTCTTGAGTGTTAATGGGAGGGTTGGAGTTAGAATTTTGATAACTTTAGCCTGAGCCATCAAGACGTTTATTTGCTGCATCGTTTTGGGGACAACCAACTACTGTAAGAATCAATGAATGGGTCCCCCCTCCCTTGCCTCCTCTATTAGAGCCTTCCCTGAGAAACTGGGTCAGATATTCATTCTATCCTCTGAAGCAAGATCAGTGACGGGTGTGGCCTCAGGAGAGTTCCAAGGGGCAGAGAGAGCCTTGGAAGTCTTCATTTGGCTCCCAGGCCAGAGGTTCTCCATTCTTGGCTTATGTAGGCAAAATAGGCAACGGCACCACACATACACTTGCTGGAGGTTGGGGGAAACCCCAAGGTTTGCAGATTTTAAAAATACAAAAGGGGACGACAACAAAATGAGCACATTGAGGACCAAGTTGTGGAATGCTGACTTGACTATTTCATTGAAAAACTGGATTACCAGGTGAGAGTGGAATGGAGTTGTATTGCACAACTACAGCTGCCCCCTTTCCCCACTGGTGGCTGGAAAGCTCAGGCTATGGTTGCCAGGCTGGTTGGGCTGGTACAGACCAGCTTGGCTCTTCAGTGCAGTTTGCAAAGAAATGCCCCACAGGTTGGTATAGCATTGTGCAGACATATCATGCACTGGGCAGCCATAGACTGCATGCAGACCACAAAGGGCACACTTCCCTAACCACAAGAAGTCTGTTGTCTCTTTTTTAAAGTGAATTCATTGTGCAAGGGCAACAGAGCACTTTAAGCTACTTAAATTGCACAGACCTAAATTTCCAGCTTGTACTTGAATCCCTCTTGCAAAATAACCAGAGTCTGAAAGTGGCCAAAGGCTTCACACATGGCACTTGTGACTCCTTTTCTTCCTTCACACTTGTACCTTTTTTCTGCAGTAATGCTCACTCTGATTTAGCTCAGCTCTAGAGGCCAGGCAATTCTCAGCAACTTTTTAGAAGTCACATGCTCCTCACTTCCCTGAACTGTGAGTAGTTAAAAAAGCAGTACTGCCAGAGTTCGGTTTCGTTTGGGGTATGTGTGTGAGTGGAGAACTGGAAACTGTTTCTGCAATATTTTGCTTATTTACCATTATACAGGTAGAACATATCTGGGGGCACAGGCACTCCAGAGAGTTGCACCTTGCAACTCACTGGGTGCCTCCAGGGCACAACTCCTCTCTCTCTTTCTCTCTTTGCTGTTGTCTCTCTGCAACCATTATTAGCACTACCTGCCCAAGGGAAGCAAGAGACAATGGTTTAACTTACTTTCTTCTTCTGACACACACTGATGGCTTTTTCAGCCCCAAATATTTCTGAGAGATCTCTGCATCCAGAAACCAACTTCTGATAATTAGTTCTCCCAGAGAGATTTTCCCCATGGCCATTCAGGCTTTCCAGATTCTGCAACAATAATATGTGCCAGGCAGGCAGTATTTGTGTTGTAAATTAATGTGAAATGACAACCTGAAATTAAGTGGCCCAATATGCTTACAAGTCTTTGAGTTGGATCCAGACTAACTAAACTAGTTGCCCTTATGTCCCATGAGAATCCATGTGAAAAAATTAGTAATGATGACCTGCTTAAATCCCACTGATTGCAAAGGGAATTAGGTGCAACTATCTAGGCTGGATTTTTCCCAAAACATTTGCATTGGTTGGCCAGAACCCTAGAGCTGTGAATAGTAGATACATATTCCATTTCCCACTAGTGTAAGGTTACCAGACATCCCCATTTCCTGGGGACAGTCCCCAGATGTACAAATCAGTCCCCATACAAAATCCATTGAAGTTGAAAATTGTCCCTGGATTCATTGGAAAAAACCTGGTAACCTTACCCTAGTAACTGTAAGGAATAAAGGGGGCAGGCTTTAGTATTATTTCAGCTTCATGTATAGATTAAAGGGTCTAATACTCTTATTTGGGGGCATTTCAGAAACAGGTAACCTATGTATGGCTGTAGGCAGTCATCATTTTACAGAAAATCAGCTTAGCCCACAGGACTCAGCCTGTGTCTGGGGCGTGATATTACAGATTTGAGTTTGGTTTGGCATTCCCAGGAGGACCGCTCAACTCTCCAGCGCTCAGGCCTTCCCTGCCACAACTACCAATCCTTCAGCACCAAACTCTTGCTTGTATGCCTGGTCTCCTCCAGCCCAGCGTCATGTCATGAAGAGCCCTGATGGAGCAGACCAAAAACCCATCTAGCCCCAAAAGTGGGGAACCTGAAGCAACTAAGGGACTCAAAACTCCCACCAGCCCGAGCCAACAGAGACCGATGGTCGGGGTGTGAGTGTTGGGAGTTGTAGTACAGCAACACCTGGTGGACCAAAGGTTGCCCCCCCCCCCATCTCTAGACCAAATATCCCGCTTCCCACAGAAGCCACTTCGGTGCTTCCGGGAAGCTCACAGACCCGTTTCCCGCGGATGCAGCTGGCGCTGAGCGGCATGCTGCCTCTGCCCATGGAAGCTCCATTTGGTGTTCCTAAAAATAAACTGCCGCATCTCCAGCCAGCGCGCTCCGCTGCCGGAGTCCGTCCCCTCTCGGCTGCCGGGGAGCGAGGCATGCCCTCCTGCTCCTCTCCAGCCCGGCGGCCGCGCCGCGCCGCACCTCCCTTCGCCCGCCAGCTCGCGGCCCAGACGGGCTTCTCTCCCGGGGCCGCTCCATGAGTAACCGCTCCGGTGGGGTCGGCGCGGGGATCATCATCATGGGCGGAGAAGCGGCGGCGGCGGCGGCAGCAGAGACAGGTCTGAGCAGAGCCCGGCGGTGTGGCTGGGCGAGAGAGGAAGGAGGCGCCCCCCGGGGGTAGGAGGCGAGCCGGGAGCCGGCAGAGGGAACCTGAGCGCGGGCCCCGGAGCTCAGCCTCCCCGCCCAAGCACGGGGCAAAGGAACCGCGCCGGGCTGGGAGGCACAGACCCGCCTCGAGCCGCACAGGAGCCGCCCGCATCCAACCAAGGCGCGCCCAGCCAGCCTGGCGCGGCTGCCTCTCCGCCCCATCCATGTCCCTCGGCCGGGCGAGGGCGGCGGCGGCGGCTCCCTGAGCCTGGACCCGTGCCCCGCTGCTCGGCTCGTCGCCCGCCCCGATGTCGGGGCCCCGCAGCGCCTTGCAGGCCTGGTGCCGCCGCCAGTGCGAGGGCTACCCGGGCGTGGAGATCCGAGACCTCAGCAGCTCCTTCCGGGACGGCCTGGCCTTTTGCGCCATCCTCCATAGGAACCGGCCTGATTTGCTGTGAGTACCGGGCGAGCGCCTCAGACCCCCGACCCCACCTCACCGCGCCCCCCTCCGGGACTAGGCCCAGCAGCCGCGCTCTCGCCTGGGCAAGCAGCCCGCCCAGGGGACGACTCCTCTGCGGCTGCGGAATGGAGATGGGCAGGGGCGGAACAAGCCGTAGAGAAAGAAGGAATGAAGGAAGCCCCCTGGCCATGGGGTAGATGTGGGGTGGCCCTCGAGTGGGATTTAGACTCCTTAGGAAAGAGGAGAGGGAGCCCAGGTTTGCCACACCTGGCAGGTAGGAGGGGAAGCCTTGTTGTCAACGGAAACAGGCACTCAAGCGCACACCCTTCTGCTCCATATTCATTGATCCTGAGTGACTTCTGTCCTTTGCTCATTACAGTTGCCAGTACAAATTAGGGCCTCGCCTCAAAAATGAGAGCCTAGAAAAGGCTGGAAGGAGAGGCCGCCCTTTTAATCCTTCTTTGATCACCCATAGTTGTATATAGAGATTAGGGTAGTTAAAACGTGGGAGTAATTTATCTGCCTAAAGGTGATCTCATGACCCAGGTTGCGTGTAACCATGGTTTAGCCTGAACAAGCAGACGTATAAGTTCCTAGACCAAAGATCATAGCCGCAACTGCTGTACTACGGCGAGCAAAGCCATGGTGTTATACTTGAGCCTGGTCTTGTGGTTCGGTCTTGCTGCAGAGGCACCGTGCGTTGTAACCAAAGTCTGTTTTTGGTTTATCACTCTCTCTTTTTTGAGAGCGGGAGACAAACCATAAGCCTGAGTCTGGATGGGACACTAAGCCAAACCATGACTTAACTATAGGTAGTACATTAGGGCTGGGAGAGGAGCACTATGGCTGCAGTTAGGCTGGGAGGGACTTGCGTAATTGATCATTCGTGCTAAGCCATAGTTTTACGTGCAAACTAGGCCCATATATAAGGGAATACCAGACGAAGTCGTCAACCCATATCAAGGAAGAGAGGTTGTAGACTGTTTTTCTGAAGTCTGGGGTCTAGTCAGGCGGTTGAAAACATCTTTTATAAAAGAGGACTTGGAGGGAGCAGATTGAACCTGATAATGGGGCTCCTCTTTGCTTGGGCTGCTCTGATGGGAGTGGTGGCCTCAGACTGCCATTGGCATAGCTGCTCTGAAATCATAGAGGAGTTTCCAGCCAAAGAGAGGCATCTGATTGTTGGGGTGCTGGTGGTGCCGCCTTAAAATCTAAATGCCAAGATTCATGTGCAACTTTTGATCGGTTCAGCTTCCTTATCTGACCCAGTACACTGTGGAGTTTCTTTATCACACACCTGGTTGTTGCAAACTGATTGAGCCTTTTTCTAGAAAGAGAGACAGGTTGCCTTTAATATGTGATAGTGCCAACTTCTCCTGACAATTCAGTATTATCGTTGCCATTTAGTGTAGTAATTAATACTTCACCTTCCAATCTCATTTTGAAAGCTTCCTGCATTGTCTCAGACAATGTGCTGCTTCCTTCCATATTACTATTTATAAACATGACTTGTGAATTGCAGCACCGGAGAATAACATCCATAGACAAAAGCAAGAGATTGATGAATGTGACCTAGTTTGTGTCCTTCAGTGACTTCTGTGCTTGTATTACAATGGACGGTTGCATCTGGTTGCTGCTTCCTTATGATCTGATTAAGTGCCTGGGGAGAAAAATTGGTGCTGTTTCAACAGGAAACTTACTTATGCAGAGCTTTGAGAGTGTTCAAATTCAGGTCTTACTTGGCAAAGGTTTTAATTTAAAACAAAAATTTTAAAAATTAACTAGCATTTCAAATAACCATGTAGGTGAGAACTGGGAAACATGACCTTCCAGATGTTGCTGGACTACGAGCCCCATAATCCCTGACCTTTGGCCATGCTGCCTGGGGCTGAGGGAGCTGGAGTCCAGCAGTATCTAGAGGGCCCTGCTGCAGACAGGCGATGGCATTTTTTTAAAACAAATCTTGAATTAGGACCTGTATAGCAGAGTCCCATGGATTGCAAGAAGATCAAACCTCTCCATTCTGAAGGAAATCAGCCCTGAGTGCTCACTGGAAGGACAGATCGTGAAGCTGAGGCGCCAATACTTTGGCCACCTCATGAGAAGAGAAGACTCCCTGGAAAAGACCCTGATGTTAGGAAAGATGGAGGGCGCAAGAAGGGGACAACAGAGGATGAGATGGTTGGATGGTGTTCTCGAAGCTACCAGCATGAGTTTGACCAAACTGCGGGAGGCAGGGGAAGACAGGAGTGCCTGGCACGCTCTGGTCCATGGGGTCATGAAGAGTCGGACACGACTAAACAACAACATGGTAGTTTGGAACAAACAAAAACAGTCTAGATACGATAGAAATTGAAAATAGTAAAAATGTTATAGAAACAAATTTAACATACAGTTAAAACTCATTAAAAACTTGACCATCATTTTTTTTAAAGAAGTCTTTTCTGTCAACTGGGAAACTATGAACAAAAGGGCCAACTGAACTTTTGGGAGAGAGAATTCAGCAATCGAGTAGTTACCAAGAAGGTCTTTTTACTGTTAGCCACACCTCCTTTGGTGGCAGAACAGGGCTACTGATGGCAACAGTAATGGACAGTAGGTTTGTTTTCATCATGCTCTGGTTCCCAGGGCATTTTACTGACCTCTGCAGGAGACAGATTGCTGGGGTAGATTTTCCAGAAACACGTGAAGTCTCCGGTTTTGATTTTCTTGCAAGACGGCCTTACACAAGCCAGTAGTCTCTCAGCTTCAGGCCCTTCCCTCTCTGCTATTTGGAATCAAGAATACTGGCCTACCTTACAAAGCCATAAGGATAATTTGTTGTGGTAATGTATGTATATGGTGCCAAGGTGCGACCTGAAAGTGCATGAGACTTGCTGAAGTCTAAGAAAGTCTAGGCAATTGCCTGGATAGGTGACCATTTGGGCACCTTATGTATCCTGCATTGGATTCCATAACAGAAGAAAAGCAGAATATTTAAAATAAATATTCCCTTCTTATATGTGTGTTATATTATCATCATCATGATTGGCCCTTTTTTATGAGAACATTTGCTACTCTTCAGAATGGAGACTGAATTGTGCTAACACATTATCTTGGTGATTTCTACTCTAATTCTGAGATGTTTTCAGTGTAGATACAGAAGGTTAGCTGCTAATTAAATCAGCTTTGGTTTAGCACAGGTCCACACCACATGCGAGAGAGTAACCCCACAACCTGTAGCAAACAAGGTTTTGTTGCTAGGACATTGTTCTATCTTCACAGGTGGAGAAGTTCTTGCCAAGGGTCTCCATGCAGTACTGTGTGACATTGACGTGCGATGACAGACAGGCATGAGAACAGTGAACAATTCATACACTTTTTAGATGTGTGTGGCAGCTGTTAAGGGTCCAAAAAGCAGTTGTTTAAAGAGCATGTGGCCTAAGCCAGCATCTGAACAAGTGGGTCAGAAGAGCGACATTCAGCAGTGGCAAACTTCTCCAAACAGCTTTTCTATCCCATTAAGCAGAAGTCGTTGCTGCTAAATATCCAGGACATAAATCTCTTTTCTAGCAGATGGTCTAACTAAGCACTTCTCAGTTTAGTGAACTATATTGCAGACTTGACACATAGGACCTTACAAGGACATGGCACGTTAAGAAAGGATTTTCGAAGCAGCATCTAAGGGGAGTGTTGAATCATTTTAACCACTTTAGTGTGCCTTGATTTGGAAGCAGGGGATCTAAGAGTGGAAAGAACCACTCAAACAGATCAAAAGCAGACCCTCTCTCCTTCCCTTCATATTAATGGGTTCTGGCTGTGGTTGCAAGGTCCTCCACATGGACTGGCTGTTTCAGCTGAGGCCTTGGAGAACTCAAAGAATCTGCTTAGACCACAGTGAATTCTATAAAAGCCCTGAATGCTCACATACAGCTGTGCTATTAATCATTGCCACAGCTTACACAGACCATATGATCAGGGCTTTGTGTGGTAAAAAGTAATAGAATTGTTGAGTTGGAAGGGACGGTGAGGATCATCTAGCTCAACCCCCATTCAATGCCGGAATCTTTTGCCCAAAGTGGGGCTTGAATCCACAACCCAGAGATTAGGAGCCTCATGCTCTACTGACTGAGCTATCCCAGCTGCACTACCACTAAATAAATCAAAACTCCACTAAGGAAAGATTTCTGTGACTTGAATAGAATACTTTTTAATTCTTATTTTGCGTAATTTAGCCTGTATGTTTACTGACTTATTCAGCTTGCGCTAGTTATAGGGGAGGAATATCCTGCCTATTGGCCATGTGAAATCTTGCAGTCATTTTGACCTGAGATTTCACCAGGGGTTGTCAACATGCTTTTAAGCATATCTTCACAATCTTATGGACTAGGAACTTGATTTTTTTAAAGTATAGGCACCAAGGAAGCTGAAGAATGTTATTTTCCCCTTCCCTGTGCACCAGTGTGGAATACACACAGCTCTATTTGTAGGGGGCACTGAAACTGCCTTCATATACATCATTGGTGGTGAACCAGATATGGGTCGAGGAAGAGGATGATAGACCCTTTCCACCCTCTCTGTTCATTGTGGCCATTCAGTGAAGGTGATGTGTGGCAACCCATATGTTCCTTGTCATTCACTCGCACTTGGAATAAGCCTTGCCCTTTTGTTTTCAGGGTAGTCGCTCCTTTTTCCTGACTACACAATGAACCAGAGGTGCCTGGGGATCAGACACAGCTTTTCGAACCCCGGGCCAGTGAGTTGCATGTTGAATCAATTTGACCAATGAGCTCTCTCTCTCTCTTATATCAGTATTAATACCATCCTTGGGCTCAGTGAAGTTTTCTCTGGGCTGTGGTGCCTCTGTACATGCTAAGCATTAAGTCTCCTTTTATATACGAGCAGCTAGTCAATGTTGTGTCCTGGCTGCATATCATTCCCCTGCTTTATTTTTTTGCATGTGAGATGATGACAGAGGAGGTGTTTCATATTGAGATTAACAAATAAATCACAAAGAGAAATCCCTGCTGCTTTAGAGTTAGCAGCCAGAGGCCCTGGGCTAAACCTGGCTCCTGAGAGGCGCTGCCTGGCTCTCTGTGCTGCCAACCTGGGGGCAAGATGGATATAGAGAAATCAGCGTCTGTGGTACGGGATAGGGATTAAGGCCCATCAGCTCCCTCTCACTTCTCAAAGTGGGTTTCTAAGATTATTAGTAGCACAGAGAGAGAAGCTTGCAGTATCGTTTGACTCACTTTTGCTTCTGCGTTGCCTAAACCCGCTCCAGTGTTGAGCCGAGCCCCTCCTGGCCGTATCTGTGCTGAAATCCCATCCTTTCTTAGTGAGTAGTTCCTGCAGTTGAGTCTCCATTGGATGGATGAGCTTAAAAGCAGCACTGCTAGGAGGCCTTGCTGGGAAATGCACGAACCTTGCTCAAATGAGAAAAAAAGTGTTGTCCTCTTGGAGAAAAATGAATGTTCAGCTTCACATGTCTTTGATTATCCAGTTGTGAACTTCCTCGACTCTGGCTATAACTAGCGCATTTCAGTCCGTGTTTCTGAGCTGCTGCTCCCAGCTGCATCTTTTCCTTCATGCCTCCCTCCCTCTTTCACTATTGCTCAGCAAGCTTACGTTGCTCAAGGAAAGCTCATGCAGAACAGGAGTGCCTTATATTCCATCTTGCCCTGAAGGATCTAGTAGTTAGTCAGTGGCCAGAAGGCTCTTCACTGAGGTCACCTCAGTAATTGGAATACCCACACCGTGCTAGCTAGGTTTGCTTAGGCTGATTTGCAGATCAAACTTTTGGGGGCCTGAAATGGGCATCCCTGAAACAGATGCAGTAATGATACTGGGCGGTGCATAAAAAGCAATGTTTACTCTAATGCCGGAATGGCATGAATGTATTCTGTTTCTATACTCTCAGGTCCCTCTTATTTCCAGGACTTGCATATAAGGCTAAAAAAGTACACCTTTTTTTCTCTTGAGGGTACTCACTCAGCAATATGCCAGTGAGATGGCAAAGTTCGCTCTGTGTTTTGTGTGAGGAGCATTGCTAGGTAGGGCCCACAAATTGAAACTCTTCTTACTTGGCAGTTTTTATAAGTAACATGAATAACAGGAAAAGAAAGACATGCATAGACCAGACCTACATATGTTTGTTCAGGAAGTTAGCCATATGGAGTTCCTGAAAACGTATTCATAAGATTTCAGTCAAAGTTAGATTTTGTTATCCTTAAGTCTGCAATTCATAAATTAACACAGGACACGTTGCATAGAATGTAAGTGCTAAAACTCTTTGCTTTGCAGGGTTGAATAGGGTAGCAGGAGAACAGACTAAATTAAAAATAAAACCCTTGTGCAACTGATGAAATGAATCCATGTGAAGAAAGGGAGCTTAGCCCCATCCTTAATCAAAGTGCTTGTTTTCTTGCACATGAAGCAGCAGGGGGTTGGACTAGATGACGCTCTGGGTCCCTTCCAGCCCTACAATTCTGTGATCTTTGACTTCATCTCAGGTGCATGGAGATGCCTAATTAAGGGTTTAAAATACATACACAATTGCTGAGATCATTGGGCAGATGGTGCCATCATAACCAATCATGGTTGCTGTTATGGTGGATGTGCAACAACTCAGACATTTGCAGATCATGCCCTAGCTTGTTAAGGTTCCTCCTTTGCGAAAGGTACTGGAAATCTTGGCAAATGTTACCTCTTTTGCTGAACAAGCGTCCACACCATTAGCAATTAAGTGCCACTGGGTAGTTTTAGACTCTGGATGTAATGGTCTTACACCCCACCCCCTTTAGGTGGAAGCACTAACTTACTTCACAGTGTGGCAAACCACAGCCTCCTCCTATGATGCTGTTCATTGCTGTACACAAAAGTCTTTCTTCAACTACAGGATGCTAGGGTAGAGTTGCCATATTTCAAAAAAGTTGTTGAGTCTTTTTGGCAAAGGTTTTTGTTTGTTTGTTTGTTGTTGTTTTGGCCAAAATCTCCCCCCCCCCCAATTTGACGTTTTTGAGCTGTTTTAAAAAGGAAATTTGTCAAAACCCCAACACTTCTGACATGGGTTGCCATACACCCGGGTTTTCCCTGACATTTTTACCGATTTTGGGAAATTGTGCCCAGATGCTATTTCCAACGGACGAATCCCAGATATGTCCAGAAAATTTCGGACGTATAGCAGCCCTCTGCTAGGGGAAATGTCATGTGTGAAGCAGTCCACATGATGGTATATTCCTATTTGGGTAGACTGAAATGTCATACGTGCGCTGGCTAAGAACTATTGGTGTAGAACTGTACAGTACCTTTGTGGAGCAGCAGTGGAAGTGTTGGTTTTCTTTTGAAAATAATAATAAGAACCAAAGCTCACTTTTTATCTTTGGTCACCCTAAAATCGAGGTTCTATGGCCTGCATTTCCTGCCTTTGTGTTTTGTAAAATGCCGTAGTCGGAAGCTTTCTTTTCCTGCCTATAACATCAAGGACAATTAAACTACAAAGATTCTGTGGTTTGAAAAGTGTGCTTTGAAGTGTCTCTATACTAATGGTTACCCAGAGATGCTGCCTCTCAAATCTCATGTGTGATCTGGTATAGATTGAACTGTGCTTCCTGCTCCTCTTGTAACACCTCCTTTATTTATTATTATTATTTTTTCCTTTCAGGGACTTTAATTCGCTTTCCAAGGACAATGTATACGAGAACAACCGCTTGGTGAGTCCCCGCCTCTGTCTTCCCTCTTGATTACTTCACTTAATTCTGACGCCATTCTGGCTTACAGCAGGGTTTGAAAAATCCCAGGTGCCTGGTTGCCCAGGTGTCTAGAAAATACGATGCTGGCACTCAGATATTTTGACAACTCTTTCCAACCCTGGCTGCATGATTGTGTTTCTGATGGCTGCATTCACTTCTTGAAGTACCGAGGGGATTATCCCTCTTATCTCTTCCCACCTAAATATAAATATGTTGATATCCAGCAAGTTAAGATATTGAAGTATAAATAAATACAAACAGTTGTTAGTTAATAATAAATATACAATCACCCAAAAGATCATCTGCTGTGCCCACCAGGATGATCTTGTGTGTTTCTGTTTTTGTGTTCTTCTAAGTACCCGGGTTCTGCAATTCACTTGCTTGCAAATTCCAATTGTTCAGTCTATATAAAGAAATGAAGATGTTCCCTTTTCATCTGATGAATGTGAACTGCCTTGTCCAGTAACTACAAGCTTTTGCTTCTGGAAAGTGTTGGACCTTCAGTTTTCTGTAAAGTTTAAATGGATGCATGCAATGCATGTGGACCAAAGTTTTGGATCGTGAGCTGCTTAATGTTTCCGGGATAGAGATGGGCCTGGCAAGGGAATTGGTTTGTATAGGAAAAGGAGCAGAAATGAAACTGAAAGCAGCCATTACTGAAAAGAAGGAAGAATGTGTTCACTTAGGCAGTTTGTATGATTTTATCTCAGATTAATAAGCTGAAATACGAATTAGACTTTTGGCTGCACACACAGACTCTAGGATCCTTTCTTCCTTGTACAAACAATCAAACCGTTAGCTGTAGTTTCCCATTTTGTCTGAACTAGGAAACTATGGTTAATAGCTTCAGAACAAGCTGGAATTATGAAACCTTTCAGCTAAGTTTTAATCAGAGTAGAGCCATGGAATTTAATGAACGTTACTAAGCTGGTGAGGGGCAGAAGGGGCTTGGCAATCTGGGAAGGAAACCCATCTAGGAAGAGGAAAACTCTAATCTTAAACCTCTGTTGTGTTGTGGGATATCTTTGGGAGGAGAAAAATAATAAATAATAATAATAATAAATTTTATTTATATCCCGCCCTCCCCAGCCGAGCCGGGCTCAGGGCGGCTAACAACAGTCAAATAACAATCAAATAATAACACATTCTAAAAATATTTCATTATAAAAATTAGTTAAAATCAGATTGATGGCAACCGATTAAACAAAATTCTGTGCAGGTTGCCGGAGGAGGGAGTCAGGCTGCGCCCTGACCAAAAGCTTGGCGGAACAACTCTGTCTTGCAGGCCCTGCGGAAAGATGTCAGATCCCGCAGGGCCCTAGTCTCTTGTGACAGCTAAGGAGTAAACCCTAGACAAATCTGGAGTCCCCAAGATGGTTGGATGGTGCCTTATATGCTTCCTTCTGGCAACTCCTGCAGCCAAGCTGGTACCAAACATATTGCTCTGCTTTCCTTTGGACCACATCAGCGAGGCCAAGAGGGGGGTTTTGTTGTCTGGGCAGTCCAGGACCTCCATACACACTGCCCAGGTTTGTGCCCCAGGGAGATCATTTTGGTGCTGCTAACACAGCAGTTTGGTTTCACCCTCGGAGGCGCACTCCATTGTCTCTCTAGACAGTCTGATGCTGACTAGATGTAAACTGAAGACTCCCTGACATGTTTGCTTGCTTGTGTGAAGGATGGGGCAAAGGCCCCAAAGACTCTCTACTCTCTCCTCTCCTCTTCTTTCTTTCTTTCTTTCTTTCTTTCTTTCTTTCTTTCTTTCTGTTATTTATTAATGTCATATGCCACTATTCCTCCCAAAGGAGGCTGTGACTTATTAAGATGAGATATGGCCATCTGACTGTGGTCAGTGTACAGCTCCATCCTTATTCAAACAGACTGAATAAAACTAGTTGCAACCAGACTGTATTTGTTAGAAACTCTCTCCCCACCCTCCACTCTGTTCCTTAAAAACAGAAATCAAGTTCAGATTTCCAGGGTAGCATATGAGATTCCACATTTGCACAGCAAACCTGCAGACCCAAATATGCAGCCCAGCATGACGGGCTTGCCATGACAGTGGAGGAATGTGCTTAGATTTCTCTTTGTGGCCTGCCAGCGATACCAAGCAAGTGTAAATAATAATCTCAGCTGGGCAAACAAGCGTTGATGTAATTGCAGACTTCTGCTGGAGATGGGCTGGTTCTGACATAATCCTTTGTGGTTCCATTCTGGAAAACGCCAGAGCAAACTATATGTACGTACAAATGTTCAGGCATACTTAGTCAAGAGTGCCTTTATTGAAGTTTTGCCTTTATGTTTCCCTTGGCACTAAAGTCATGGTACCAGGCTTTCTTACCATGTTTAAACTCCCATCCCAAGACCAAATGGAACCATTTGCTGTGCAAGCAGAAGTTTTCAAGTTTGATCCCTTGTATCTCCAGGTAGCGCTAGGAGAGACTGAAATCCTTGAGAGCCACTGCCTGTGAGCATAGACCATTCTGAGCTAGAGGGACTAATGGTCTGATTCAGTATAAAACAGCTTCCTAGGTTCCTACTGCTGTGGTGGGCAAATCTCCCATTTCTGTGTGACTGGTATTTGTTTAATATGCATCTCTTCCTAGTGTTTTGTTCAGTGTTGTTGTCTTATGTTGTATATTGATTGCAACCGCTTTGAACACATATTTCTTGGGGGGGGGGAATGGGAGAAAGCAATTTTAAGCAAACAAATAAATAAAATATACTCCACACAATATGGTTTATTCTTTATATTTGATAAGCGCCAACATTCTCAGATTGAGGGAGAGAGCCTCAAGGTCACCCAGTAAGTCTGTGGTGCAGCTGAGAATTGGTCAGAGTCCAAATTCTGACTAATGGGCCATGCTGGAAGCAAATATAGCGTCGTCATCTCTATTCTGCTTCATTCTCTGTCCCTGAGCAATTGCTAATGACTGGAGAAATTCACTTTGCCATACCCTGGCAGGGGCACTTCTGTTGCCACTAACTTCTTCCCAATTAAAGTGTGTGTGTGTATTTGTGTAATATATATATAGAGAGAGAAAGAGAGAAATTTGGAAGGGCGGGTGTTAAACTAAAATGGTGAAAATGATCATTGGACCCTTGCTGAAATTTCAGGGGTGAACCACAGAAAAGCTCTGCTGGTTCAGGCCAAAGGCCCACCTCTTCTGGCACCAGATGCCTGTGGAAAGCTTGAAAGCAGACCTGAGCACAGCAACACTCTCCCAGCCTGTGATCCCCGACAACTTGTGATCCCCTGGCATTCAGAGGCATGCTGCTTCTGACAGTGGAGGCAAAACATAGTCATTGTGACTGGTAGCAATGCCAATGGAAAGAGGTGGTATGATTGGCCTAGGTCCCAATATGTGTCATCTTCCTTATTAGTTCCTTCTGTACTGCAAGTTTCTACTTGGCGACTTCTGCCCTTGTTTTGTTCCACCAGTGGTACATGCCTGCCTCTTTCTCGGAGTCAGCTTCCGCTTCCTGATTGTCTGCTCTTTGTTGCCTTTGCAGGCCTTTGAGGTGGCTGAGCAAGAGCTGGGGATCCCTGCCCTGCTGGATCCCAGTGACATGGTCTCCATGAAGGTCCCCGACTGCCTCAGCATCATGACCTACGTCTCTCAGTATTACAACCATTTCAACAACCCCAACCAAGGTGAGAGCTCCAAAGCGGGGCATTTCCTACAGTTACCCCTCCAGGGATCTGAATGACACAGAGGAGGAGTTGTGCTCCCCCCCCCCGCTCCATGACAATATTGGCACCTTTGCTCGCTTGCAGTCCATAAAGTTGTTTGCAGTGGCGAGCACTGACTTCTCCAAGCTTGATGAATCTATGCCCTTCTCCTAGAGCAGGTGTGGAGGACCTTTAGCCCTCCAGATGTTGCTGAACTACAACTCCCACCATCCCTTGTCTGTGGCCATACTTGCTGGGGCTGATGGGAGTTGTAGTTCAGCTGCTGAGTCACCCATGAGCATGAAATGCTTGCCTTTGGTGAGTGGGTTAGTCGATTCCGAAGTACCATAAGGGAGCAATACACCATCACCCTTCCTGAGACTGGTGTGGGGCAGGACACAAAACACTTGCCTGCTCCTAATTTGCCAGATTTTGCAGATCCCCAGAACTGCACATGGTTTAATGATGCTGCTGCTTAATGCTTCTGGGCTCTGTGCTGAAAGCTGAGCTTAAGGGCTCATCGCAGCTTTGAAGTATAAAGGAGTGGGGTGAATAGTTTGCCCACAACAACCGGAAAGAACAGAAACTCATGTAGGCTGTGTGCTGCCACCCCTGTCTAGGTGTTTTCAACTATGAGACAGGAGCGAAGTGAGAAAATCTACTTTGTCAAATGCACTGATTGTCCACAACTTCTGGCCCTGAAAGCATACAGGCTAAAAGGGGTTGGGGGTGGATATGCAAATCCATCTCTAGTGTCCCTGCATTTACCAGCTCTGCTTCAGATCCATGTTGAGAGGGAAAGTCTGGAGATTCTAAATGTGTTCACCCAACAGGCCTAGAATCCTCCCCATGAGCCTCTCCTGCCTTAGCTGGGTTCTTGATCTCAAAGAGCCTAAGCACGCTCACCCAAACACATTAAGACTCCCTTTTCTGACTTTCCCTCTGGTTTGTGTTCAGAGATGTGCTTGGGTACATGTGCTTGTCCCCTGTCCACTTTTAGCCCACATGCTTTCAGATGAGCACCTGAAGAGAGCTTCTGTCTTTTACTGACTCATCAGCTACCATCATGGATTGGTTCCCATTTGTCTTTGCAGCCAGAGTCCTCCCGCCTATGAAGCACCCTGCAGTTGCCTCCTCACCTACTCTGCCAGCACACAAACCTGTGCCTGCCTCCGAGACCACATCAGCCCCAAGGTACTGAGCCTGCTCCTCTGATCGGTCAGATGTCTCTAACGTGCTTCAGGTTCCAGTTTCTGAATTGATGCTTTCCAAAAGCAATAGATTCAAAAAGTATGGCTGATCATTCTGTCCTCTTCAGCTTTGAAGAATTTACGGTTCTCCTTTTGTGGTTACTGTAGCAGGGTTTATATTGTTTCTGCACTTGGCACAGAGATATGTATATTTCAGGAAGGGGCATGCAGTGTATAGAGCAGGTGTTACTCACAAAGTTCAATGCAGCCGTTGTGCCACTAATAACAGCCCACAAAGGCAGGGGTGGCCCTTTAGGTATTGTTAGTCTTCCAACTCCCATCAGCCCCAGCAGCATGGCCAATGGTCTGGGAGAGTGGGAGTTGTAGTCCAATAATATCTATAGGGTTAGAGGTTCTCTTGTAAGGGTTTGCTAAACCTTATGTTTATGCTACCTGCCAGGGATTGCAAAAAAGGGGTGTTTGAGCACCATGAATGCCACAATACCTGAGTTGTAAATTGTGCAGGTTTGGTGTAGAGAGTTGCTGTTATTCCTGATATCCGAGGGCCTTTTTTTTTTTTAAAACATAATTGAGTATTTTGAAATAACTATCCCTTAACTCACATCAGTGGTTGCTGTGTTTACAGGATATCAGCCCTACATATCTTGTTTCACCTTGGGATAAAAACAATTCTATTGTAAACAACCTTTTTTCCTGTGACAGGGGTCAACATTTTTGCCCAGGGCAAATAGCAAACCTGTTAAACCTTGTCATGCACATTTCAAACTAGGATTCAGTTGCACACAGAGACCGTGAAACAGAGCTTGCCTCTGGACAGGGTTGCTGTATGATAAACACCTGTCTTTCTCCAGTCAGCAATAATGCATGAAGACAAAGTACTGGCTTCTTCCATGACTTCTCAGTATAACACTTTCTACTGCCAACAGTTCCACATGATCATGTCAAACAATAACACAGAAGCCTGCAATCATCCGAGGAATGGAAGCATGCACGCGAAGAAGGAGGCGACAGTGAATTAGGGATCCTGCAAAGTCGTGCAGCACATTTGCTCAGGCTTAACAATACATTCAAAATCCAAAAGAGAGTATAGCATGCCTCTCTGCTGAAACTCAGAAACTTTCATGTTTACAAGTGAAAATGTAGACAGACCTTTTACCATAACTTAATCAGAAGGGTTGCGGGATGTGTGTGTGTGTAATATCAGAGTCCATAGAAAATTGCTTTGGTGTGTGTGTGTGTGAATGTGGCATGTACACCTCTGCTTGGCCACTCCTGATTACAGAAAACAAACCAGTTACCTGCAAATTGAGAATAAGCCAGATAATGCAAACCAATTGGAGGTAACAACTGGATTTCTGAAGAAGAAGGAAGGTCAAGATATGGCTTCTATTCTGAAAAGGATATTGTAACCTGGAAGCTATATATGTGCCTCTTTCAAGGGTCTTGTTGAGAGATTTAGTAGTTCCCATGAGCTGTTGAGAATTTTACATTATTGAACTGGTATTGGAAGATTCCCCTCTTCCTCCTTGGCAGTCATCGTAGGAAAGAGCATCATGCTCCATTCATTCCAAGACTGGCTGAGAGCCAGAGCATCTTGCTGAGATCTGGGCTGCGGATGTTGGATAAGTCACTTCTTAATACTTTGAACTGGGTGGGGCAGGAATTTGCAGCACAGTGGAGCCCTAAGTTGGTAAGCAACCCTAGTACCTGAATAGATCTTTCTTCAGGTTTGAGGCTCTGCTGTGCTAGACAAGAGTTCTCTTGAGGCCAGTCCCAAGAAGGTCTGAATCTCTTTGTTTGTGGAGGCATTCTTACGCCACCTTTCTGTTGCCACAGGATGAGGATGCTGCAGGCCTGGCGGAGCAGTCCCAGAGAACCACCCTGAGCAGCACTTGCGCAGCTTGCCAACAACACGTCCACTTGGTCCAGCGCTACCTGGCTGATGGCAAGCTGTACCACCGCCAGTGCTTCAGGTAAGCTCTTCCTCCTCACTGAAGACCAAGTGGAGCCACCTGCTCTCCTGTAGCCTTATCCTTCTTTGCCAGGCATGGCCTTCTAATTATGCCAAGCCCACGGAGATCATCTCTGTTTTCTGAGTTGTGAGAACACACTGCGTGCATATTTTTGCCAGCTACTATGAGGTCAGTAACTTCATTATGAAAAGAGAGAAATAAGCAGCAGCCTAAAACTTCTGTACTTGAGTGGGTCCCATAATTGCTGCTGTTCTGAGAATCAGGCAGAAGGGGCTTTACTTGGCTGGTGGTTGTCCTCTATTTGTCTTTATAGGATATTGTGCTTGTCTAGATAGATAGATAGATAGATAGATAGATAGATAGATAGTCCAGTAGCACCTTAGAGACCAACTAAGTTTGTTCTTGGTATAAGCTTTTGTGTGGATGCACACTTCTTCAGATACGTCCTCCTTTAATTAGTATTTAAATTAAAAGCTTTCTTTTTAAGGCTGCATTTCAGTACAATAGGAGGACTTCTGTTTCATGTCCTTCTCCCCACAACGCCCAGAATCTGCTCCTGAGGGTCCCCCCCAAACCTCCAGGGCTGATTTTGATGGTACGAAGGGGTGCTGGAGAGGACATTGCACACACAAAAGTCTGTTGTAGTAGTGGAGCTGCCACATTGGATACAGCTCAAGGTCCTCTCTAAGAGATGATTCCAAAAATATGACATCAGGTAAAACACAGATTGCAACAGCAGCCAGTGAATATTAGCTACAAAGTAGTCAGACTTTTAAACAATGTGCAGCCCAGCATAAAAATAGCCAGAATGTCCAGATAAACTGAAGATTAAAACCCAGTCCTCTAAAACCCAACAGCCTAAAAAGAAAAAAGAAAGCTGAAACAGATGGGGCTTCAAGGCTTTTTCACATCACTACTGTAGGTTAAATGATGAGGGCATATCAATTTTTTTCAAAAACATGGGCAACTGTGGGAATATAGAACTCTACTGTGATGTTCTGCTACTAAATCCATGAGGCTCATAAGTCTCGCTCTCATTCCCAGTTGTGACCTGCTTTCCGTGTTATTGGCATACGACTGTAGTGTAGAAAAAGTGAGGGGCACGTCTGTTTCTCGGGAAAGAGGCACATTTTCCAAACCAGCTTTGATTGTTTTACTTAATATGTCTTTTCTCTGAGGAATAAAATGTACTTGATTAACTTTATGGTGTCATATTTGCCCACACAAAAAGGGAAGACAGATCCAGCCCCGGAGAGCAAAACTGCTTTTGAGTTTAAGTCATGTGAGAGAGACGGCACCAGCCTCTGCTCTGAAAACCTTATAGCCTGAGTTAGAAGTGCAAATCAGTTGTAATTTCTATGTGGACAAATGGGGAATCAAGAAACAGAGAAGCTAAGTGACTTAACCTAGCGTGTCACAGGGCATCTTTGGCGAAGCTATAAAGGGAAGTTTGTTCTTCTAAGGGTGCCTGTGATCACAACTCCGCAATTCTTGCCTGTCTCCACTGTTGGGTGACAGGCTTTGCTTGTGTCTCTGGCAGGTGTAAGGAATGCTCCAGCACTCTTCTCCCCGGTTCTTACAAGCCTGGACCTGAACTGGGCACATTTGTGTGCACCCAGCATCGTGGCAAGTTGGGCCTGAGCGGGAGGATGGAGCGCAGACCAAGCCCAGATCTTCAGCACGCAGGGGAAAGCGGAGAGGCTGGGATAGTGAGCACTGGTGCGGAGGAAGAGAACGGAATACTGGAGGAGCACCCATCCGCCGCGGAAGAGATAGGCAAAACGGGGGAGAGGGTAGCTGATGGAATGGAGAGCGAGATGCCTCTTGCGCAGCCAAAGAACGAAACACTCGCCCCTGCTCCCGGATCTGAAACCTGCTCCCAAACACCCCCCAAACCTCCTGTGCCAGCAAAGCCACCTCTGCTCATGCAAGAGAAGGCTAGCCTGCAACATGGGCAGCTCAAGGAAGCTCGGCCCAAGCCTGCCCCCAGGAAGAGCACAGACACAGCAGCAGCCCTGTCACCGCCAAGCTCCCAGCCTGTTCCGAAGCCCAGAGCCAACGTGCAAAGCGAGGGATCCAGTGAGCCTGGCACTGGACTGGCCAATGGTAAGGAAATGCGTGCGCAGAGGGAAGTAGTGAAGAACCCATCTGCAGCACTGTGGCAATAGCCAAACTGAAATGGGAGTCCTCATTTGCAGCTTGTGTGGATTGGAATCTTAGAATCACAGAAGGAACCTCAAAGGCCATCTAGTTAGACTCCTGAGGCAGGAAACCTGCTGCTGCAACATCTCTGGTAGGTGGCCCACCCGTGATGTTGCAGGAGCAGATTCCCTGCAGTCTCTTTTTTGTAAACTGAACTGCAGCCATTCTTGTTGAGGGGCAGTATAGAATTTTCTGCATAAATAAATACAACTGGCAGGGGGTTGTACGAGAAAACCTTTGGAGATACCTTTCAGTTGTAGCAGTGGGCAGCTTGGCAAAAGCCCTTTTGTCCTGTGAAACATACCCTTCTGATGGGACAGATAACCTGGATTCTGTGCCCACGACTTGACTGCATTCACTCCTTGTGTGATACTTCATTCTTCTTCCACAAGCACGATTTTCTGGTAAGGACCAGTGGAGTGGATGGAAAGAAGGGCGTGGAGATTCAAGGCTGGGTGTGCCTTGGGCATAGATCTGAGAGCCGTAGCCAGGATGGAGGGAAAGGAGCTGTGTGGCTGTGCAGTCATGCTCCCAGAAGGCAAGAGAAGATTTCTTTGGCCACTTTCCTAGTTTCTGAGGTTTCGCAAGATGCCGCGTAGCTGCATGTTGGGAGCTTTCATCCCTGGCTATAAAAACAAGTTATCCCAGCGTAATGGATTTGGACGTCCTTGCTAGGAGATGAGACACATGGGTATGTTAAGAGCATCAGGAGAGCCCAGCTGGATCAGACCAAAGGCCCATCTAGTCCAGCATCCTGCTCTCACAGTTGCCAACCAGAGGCCTATGGGAAGCCTGCAAGCAGGACTAGAGCTCAAGAGCAGTCTCCCCACTTGTGGTTCCCAGCAGCTGTTATTCAGCAGCAGATTGCCTCCGACACTACAGGGGGGAAAACAGAGCATTTAGCCATTATGGCAATCTGCCATGACTTTGTCTAAGCCTCCATTAAAGGCACCTATTTTGCTGGCTATCCCTACGTCTTGTGGGAATGAATCCCATAGATTTAACTGTGTGCTATGTGAAGAAGTATTAACTGTTGTCCTGAATTTTCCAACAAATTCAGTAGTGCTTGAAAACTGTTGCGAGAGAGGGAGAAAAATCCTTTCTCTATCCGCTTTCTCCAAACTGTGCATAATTGTATACACATCTATCATGTTCTCCCTTACTTGCCTTTCCCCCTCTCCTAAACATAAAAGCCCCTAATGTTGCACCCTTTCTTGTGTTCTTCATTTCTGGATTAGGTAGGCCTCCTGAGCCCTGTCCTCCTGTTCCGAAGCCCAGAGGCAGACCCACGTCCTCCGAGCGGTATGTCCCTTTTGCTTGCAAATCACACTCAGATAAATGTCGACCTTCCCTCCAGTTTCCTTTTTCCCTATTCATGCAAATTGAGCTGCAGGGTGGGCATGCATTGGAGGTTTTAAGTGAGAGATGGGGACTCATTCAGAACTTGTTATTCTGAACTAGTGACACTCCCCCCCCCCCACAATCTACTGAAGAGAGAATCCTGGGTCCTTGCAGAGCAATACAGACAGCAACGCGCCCCCCCTTTAATCTGTGTACCTCTTGTCAAAATGCAAGTTAACAAACAACTGTGTAGACCACACTTCTCCAACCTGGTGCTCTCCAGATGTTGTTGGCCTGCAACTCCCACCATCCCTGAACACTTCCTGTGCAGTCTGGGGCTGATGGGAGGTGGAGTTAAAAAACATATTGAGGGCACCTATTTGGGAAGGCTGACTAGATAGTAAATCATGCAGGTGAACCCTGTGTAGGAAGAACAGCATGTCTTGATTTCCAAAGGGTAGCTATGTTAGTCTATTGCAACGAGTCTTGTGGCACCTTTAAGGACTAGCAAAGCTAAGAAATCGGGTAGTTTTCCCTGGACCATGTGTCACAAGACTCTCCATCATGCTTTAAGCAGCTCTTAGCAATTTCAGCCACATAGAGGGGAAGATGGAAAGGGCTAGGGTCATGTCTGAGTCACTTGATGTCTCCCAGTCCACCACAGATGGAAAGGGTTGTTCTCAGTGCATCAGACTATCCTTAGCTTGAGAATCCAAAGCTGCTGCTCAGTATTCCTGCCTGAAAGATTGGAGAAAAAAATAACAGGGCTGTGTATATTCTAAACATAACATCAAAAGTCATGATTCAGTAACAAGAAAATCTGCTTTCTGCTTTTCAGCCTTCAAATTATACATGTGTCTATCTTTCTTCTTGTTCAGTATCAGCTTGTGGTCTTGTGTGGCACACTTGCGGAATATGTGCAGCCTTGGGCTTCAGAGACCGAGCGTCTTGCTTGGGAGCCTCTTTTCCATTTCGTACTCTCCCACTTTCATCCTTCCTTACCCCATATATTTTCTCCTGCCAGAACTGGGGAATGCCTGCGGCCCAAAGACCCTCCCTGGATTGCATTGGTCCAGGGAGAGCCCAAGAGGAAGCTGGCCCCTCCACCTCCCCCGCCAGGTAGTCGCAAGGAGAGCCCCTCCAGGGTTTCGGAGGAGGATGAAGGCGGAGAAGGGAAAGCGCAGGGCGGGGAAGGCAGGCCCACTCCGGAGGAGCCCAAGCCGTATAACCCCTTTGAGGAGGATGAGGAAGAGCAGCAGCAGGAGGAGGAAGAGGAGGGAGTCGTCGCGCAACAGAGCACACCAAAGCAAGAGCAGAGTGAGGGCGAGCCCACCTCCAAGGGGGCTCACCCCTGGTACGGCATCACCCCCACCAGCAGCCCCAAGACCAAGAAGCGGCCAGCTCCAAGGGCCCCCAACGCATCCCCTCTTGGTGAGTCTCCACCCTGCCTTCTGGCAGGAAGGAAAAGAATGAGCTCTCATGGCTTGGATGTTTGAGGCCTGGTCCTGCAATGCTTGCCGTGGCTGGGGTGCCCTCAGGGCTTTGTTGGACTCAAGCTCCCATCATCCCTGACCACTAGCCATGCTGGCAGGGGCTGATGGGAGTTGGAGTCCAGCAACGTTGAAGGGGAGATGCACAGGTTCCCCATCTTTCAAATGGGCCCGTCTGGAAAAGGCATTCTGTCATGCTATGACTTTTTTTCTGCCCAAGCGCTGCCTTCACTCCTGGGTGCTTTGTGGTGGGTGGAGCCAGATTGGCTGGGGCAGCAAAGATAAATTTTGCGTTTGGACCAGTAGGCTAGGTTTTGCGCGCACACATCGTTCTCTGTCCTCCAAATGGACAATCAAGAGGCAATATTGGAGTTCAAGGGCACATTCCATGCAGGCAAATTGGGGGCCAAAGCAAGGCCAGTGGGAGGAGTGGCATGGGAAGGGTTCGGAGGGCTGGGCAGAGAGGCCTAAAGGGCCATGCTTGGGCCTGAGTTCCCCCACTTTCGCACTAGGCTCTCACATGTACTTTCCCCTCGTTGCAGCTCACCACCCCATCTCCCGACTCTCCCGCTCGGAGCCGTCTTCCTCCACCCCCTCGCCCGCCCTGAGCCTGGAGAGCATCACATCTGAGTGTTTGGCCAAGGGCGCGGATGACTTGGACGAGACCTCCGTGCCCAAGAGCTCCTCAGAGCCCGCAGTCCATGTCCCGGCCGCCACTTCCGTTGTCTCCTCCTCAGCCCCTCCACTTCCCCGCCTCTCCTCCTCTGGTGAGGAGTGTCCCACGGCGCTGCCCGGCAGCTCGGCCAACTCCTCCTTTTCGTCCTCCAGCGATTTGGCTGGCGATGGCAGTGAGGCACAAGGGGGACATTCACAGACTGCCCGAACCTCCTCATCTGGGAACTTGAAAACCTCTCCTGGGGGAGCCTCCCCCAAGCCTTCGGCCGGGGCCATTCCCACACCTATCCTCTTGGCCTCAGAGCTGAGTGGTGCAGCTGCCAGGAGCTCTCCATCACCCAAAGCACAGCCAAAGGTAAGTTGGAGTCGCTTTCCTAGGTTCTGGTCGTGAGACCCATCCTTCATTCCTGCAATTTTTTGAAAAGCAATGACCTTTTGCCTTGCTCTGTTACTTTGAAAGGTCCCTGAAATGAACGGAGAAGTTTTTATGTGTCCATGTGCATGTTTGTGTGTGTAACAAAGCATCTGGCCAGGAAGTCCCAGCCAGAGTTAGGGCTTCACTGTCTTCATACAGTGGTACCTTGGTTTGCAACCGCTTTGGATTACAACCATTTTGGGTTACAACCACGTCAAACCCAGAAGTGTGTGTTTTCCTATTTTGGATTACAACCAATTTTTGGGGAGGAGGCCCCATTGGCGAAAGTGCGCATTGGGCTACAACCTGTTTTGGTTTACAACCGGACCTCTGGAACAGATTATGGTTGTAAACCAAGGTACCACTGTATTCCCAGAGACATGACAACTTCTTGGCCTGCTCTCCACTCTCGCCTCTAGCACCACCTGCTGGTTATGTTATGTACTACTTATTTTGCAGCCTTACAAATAATTAACTCTGGGTAGAAGCTGCTGTTATGAAGTATTGCACAGAGTTTCAGATCCTCTGACAATGCTGCTTTATAGATGGCATGCACAACAAAGTCTGTTCTCACAGGAAAAGTCTGTTAGGGCAGTGTTTAATGGTGCTTAGGGCTTCTGATTCCCCCACTCCTGCTTTATCTCTCCATCAGTTTTGGCTTTTTGCTCCATTCTCTCCCCCTTCCCATTAACATAAGCCTAAACTGATCACATGCAGAGGGCTTGAAATGAAGGCTGCCTGTGGCTCATGAGCTGCAGAGGAGGGGGCTGACACGAAACTCCCGAGCCACAAAGTGCTGCAGGGTTTCGTGTCAGCGCCCCCCTCTATCTTTTACCCCGGGAAATGTAAAACCCACTGCTCCACCATGCAATTCCCTGCTCCACCAGGATCCCTTGAACTGCAGGGCAGTCTTACTGTGGCTGGCTTGTCCTCAGTTGCTGAGCATGGCTGTCGGGAGTGTCCCCAGCATTTGTGATTTCTCGGGTGCACTGCCTCATTTCCCTTGCTCAGAATCAGGAGCCCCTGGCCTGTGTCTGTTGCAAAAGAGGCCTGGCTACTACGCCCCCCACCCCCCGTGCCAGAGCTGAGTCCCTGCTCCAGAGATATGGTCCTCAAAAGTGCCAGGGTGGAGTGGCAGGTTCAGGATCCCATTGTGGTGCAGCCCAAGAGGTATATTTTGATATTCTGCTTGGTGTGTTTGTCCCCAGTCATCCTGCAAAGAGAATCCCTTCAACCGGAAGCCGTCGCCTGTCACATCCCCCTCCATTAAGAAGACTCCAAAGGGACCCAAGCCAGCAAGGCCTCCTGCTCCAGGACATGGCTTCCCGCTAATTAAACGGAAGGTAACGAGGATTGGGGGCTTCTGCCTCATTTGCCATACTACTTAAATTCCCACAAATCGCTCACAAAAGGAGTATTTAAATTAACTGAGCTAACTCAGTTGTGTTTGTTAACTTCAGTGGGTTCTACTCTGAGTAAAACTTAATTGAATACTACCCCTGTGGAGAGGGATTGCATACTTTCTAGCGGGGTGATTGAGAGCTAAGGGCTGGTGTGGGGCGTTTGTATGCAGTGGTTGTGGCTTCCTCTGAAAGCTACACCATAACAAAAGCTGCTGGGGCGGATTCTAAATGCTGAGCCTGAAACCTGGCTTTGAAGGTGCTGAAGGCAAGCCTTGCCTGCAGAGGAACAGTTATCTGGGGTCAGGTGCTGGGGCAAGGCTTGGGGAAATGACAGCACAGGCCAAAGTGGGGCCAGGGCATGTTTAGTTAGGCCTGCAGGCTGGAGGTTCCTCACCAGTGCTTTATGTTTACTCTGTGGACTCCAGAATTTGTCTCCTTAAGAATGTCGGCCAAAACAAGTTTCTGTCCCTCATGATTGTGTAGGAAACCATCTGAAACATTCAGTAGTGATAATTTTAGGTAAGGAGGCTAGGAGGGATTTTGGGTGGGACACCCCTGCCAGGTTCTGCCCTACATCTTGCCCTAATTCACAGATACATATTTTTTTAATGTACTCCCCATGAGTCTTATCTCCCTCCTCCCACCCTGGAGTCAGTAGTTACCTTCTAGAAAGCCACGCCTGCCTTGTTAGAAACAGGAAGCATGATCCTTGGTTCCTTGCCTTTTTACAGGTTCAGTCAGACCAGTACGTTCCAGTGGAGGACATCTATGGCGAGATGGACAGCATTGAGCAACAGCTGGATGAGCTGGAGCATCGAGGGGTTGAGCTGGAAAGGAAGCTTCGCAGCATGGAAAATAATGGTAGGGTGGTGGATCGCTGCCTGTGAGGCTGCGCAGGGCGAGGCAGAAGGCAGGAAGTGTTGCAGGATATATGAGCGTCATCTTTGGCCATGCTTGCTGGGGCTGCTGGGAGTTGTAGTTCAGCAACATCTGGAAGGCCAAAGGTTTCCCCGCACCTGATATAAAGCAGCCAAGTTTGCTTTTCCATGGCTTGGGCACCACCTGCCCATCTTTGCTTATCCCACTGTGTATATTCATGGGGTGAATGTTAAAAAATATTCTATGTATATGAATTATCCATGTTTGTTAAAATATATGCCACGTAATACTTGGTTAGGGAACTTTCAGGCAGAAGGGTTTCTGTGTTCAGAGCAAAGGCAAGGAGGGAAGAGGTTAAGCGTTGGCAACTTGGAAAAGATGGGTCAGGTTTAAAAACAAAAGCCAACCCTCCAGGATGTTTGGTATTTGTGTCCAGAAATGGAGGTGATTGAGGAAATGCCTTTGTGCGTGTCCTGGTTGTGTTTCTGCTTCAAAAATAGTATTTCTAGGTTTCAGGTGCCCTGAAGCTAATGTGGACTCACAGTAAGAGCTGCTGTAGCTGCCTCATCCCTTTGCCTCTGTGGTGGGCAGATCTCAGGGAAGGTCTCAGTGGTAGAGCACATGCTGTGCGTGGCAAAGATCTGGGTTCAGTCCCTGGCATTTCTACGCAGGGCTGAGAAAGTCCCCTGGTGTGAAACCCTGGAGAGCCACTGCCAAGGTAGATGAACCAATGGTCTAATTCAGTATTGGTGTCAGGCTCTGAAGAGTGTGTGGCAGAGGCAGGGGGACAGGGTAGTGACCCCAGAGAGGGACCAGTGATTTATGGGATGCCATGCCACCCACAAGGCAGGAGCCAGGGCAATTCAAGGCAGAAGGAGAGACGGTTCAGGCGAGGGACAGGTCAGTAGATTCCCCACCTTCCTCTGTCCCACTGTCTCCTGGGAGCAGGAGAGGCATGAAAAGGGAAGAGCAGTGACGACTTCTGTGCAGGAGGTCTCAGATTGAGGGCATGCCGCCTGTCAGATAAGTCGGAGGATAGGAGGGGGCCCCACTGTTGCTGCAACTTCTCCGTAGGGCCCAGACCTATGGACAGCTGCATAGAGGCTAGAAGTGTGTGAGTATGTGTATCCAGAGCACGATGGAAGCTGCTGTAAGTGGTTCTCTAGCCAACAAAGAGTTAACTGTCAGATGTGAATCTTCCTTATCTGAGATAGGCCAGGACAATAAGGTAGCTTGGTACCCTTGTGGCCTTCTGAGCTCTTTCCCTTCCTCCTCCCTTTGACCAGCAGATATTCCTGAAGATGGCCTGCTGGTTGACTGGTTCAAGCTCATCCACGAGAAGCACATGCTGGTGCGCCGGGAGTCTGAACTCATCTATATGTAAGTACACATGGTTGGTGAATGGCCACACACTTTCTAGGGGGCAAGTGCCGCTCTTTGCAGGCTCAATCCCAAGCGCCAAAGCCCACCCCAAACAGGTAGATCAAAGGTTCAGGGGGCGCCATATGTTGTTGGGCTGCATCTCCCATCGTCTCCAGCCAGCATGGCCAGTGGTCAGCAATGATGGGAACTGACATCCAGCAGCATCTTGAGAGGCTCAGATTCCCCATCCAGGAGTCGATCTTCCAACCTTCTGAAAGAATCTGGACTTTGCTGAATTGGCTGTGGTAGGGAATGCCATAATGGCAAGGAGGATGAGCTAGTTAACTGGCACTATTACAGATGCCACATAATATTAGTTCTGCACTTGTTCTGCAGGGGGGCACCACCAAAACTCTGGAACTCACTGCCTATTGACACCAGGCAGGTGCCTTTACTGTACTCTTTTCAGCACCTGCCAGAAACTTTACCGAAACATGTAAAAACTGACAGACATTTTAATCTGCCATTTTAGCCTAGCTGATTTTATTTATAAATTTTATTTTTTAAAACCAACTTTAACTTTTATCAATAATTCTAATGTATATTTTATGCCTTTTGAAAACCACTTAGAAGTTTTACTTCCAGTTAAGCGATGTATGCAGATATTGTTAAAAATAAAAAATTTGCCTTGCTGAAGATTCCCATCCCGCTGCTCCCACATCTTTGTGCTGGCATGTAACTCTCCTCTTTTCCTTCCTTCTAGCTTTAAGCAGCAGAACTTGGAGCAGCGTCAGGCTGATGTGGAGTATGAGCTGCGATGCCTCCTCAACAAACCTGGTACGTCTCTCAGGGTGTGATACGAGCAGTTTTTTAAAAAAGTGATCTTTGCCGTAGCATTTGAGAATGACTTAAAAATGATTTTGGATGCATTTGAAAGGAACAGTGTTACAGGACCTACGTGAGGAGACCATGCCAGGCAATGTGAGCTGTTTCTTGTTCCCCTGGTGTGCTCAGGCTTTGCTGGGATGGCCAGTGCTCCAGGCTGCTCACTTTGAACGTTAGCCTAAGTATGTTTCTTCATAAGGTGCTTACAGTTCCTTCAGTATCCTTAAAATTGTGTATGTCCGTTTGTTTGTTTATTTACCCTACTCTTCAGCCAAAAAAAGACTGAATAGCAATCAATAAATCATTCATCCAATTTATATCCTACCTTTCCTGCCGAAAAAGTCTAGGACTGCAGAAACAGCCATGATAAATCACAACTAAAAACAGTCAAAAACAGTTACAAGCATATTAAGCGCATTCTAAAAACCAGCTAAATACCTTATTTCAGTCGGTGACCTCAGGGTTGCCAAGAGCAGTGTCTTTCAGCCATCAAATGCCTGGAGAAACAGGAATGTTTTCAGAGTTCTCCTGAAAGTCAGTAATGAAGGAGACAGACGCACCTCACTAGGGAGGGCATTCCACAAACACCCCTGTCCCTAGGATTTAAAATTTGAAAGACACAACACAAAAGGAAAAAGGATTGGGCAGGAGGAGGAAAGAAACGAAACTCAGAAACTAGTTCTTAGATATGGAGTTCTTTTGACTAGCTGGAAGGGAAACTGCTCAAGGAGAGGAACAGCCAAAAGTTGCTGATTTTGCATCAGAGCCAGTAAAGTGGTCCTGCTTCCCTTCCCTTTGCTCTGCTGTAGTATGACACAATGACAAGATGGCATTTGAAGGAGAAGAAAAGCTTGCTGGAGACGGCTTCTCAGTGGAGCTGATGGAGTGGTCCTTTCTTCTGTATGCTTCAGGCTGATGGAATGGCAGGCTAGGAAACCTGGGGCCCAGCAGCTGTTCTTCCACTATGGCCTGAGTGTTGCTAGTTTAGACAGCTGCTGTTACTGTGTCAGCTAAGAGGAGAACTCCCTAGTTTAAACATTCTCTCTGCCATGGGCGCATTAGGTGGCGTTTGGCAAGCCATAGATTCCCAGCCTCAATCTCATCTGCAGCATGAACAGAATAATAGCGGCCTACCTTACAGTGCTATTCTAAGGCTTGCTGAGATTGAAGGATTTCAGAATTTCGACATGAACCTATATGTAGGCGGAATACTACCCAGAGCAGAATATTATCTCAACGCACGTTGACTGCCAGCAGAGAGCACTGTTCAATAAAATGAGAGGCTCTTTCCCTACTGCCAGCCTTCAGTCGATGGCATTTCCTGCCCTAGTTAGTTAATGAAAGTCCAACAAGAGGGAAGCTCTCGAAACAGGCTCAAGGCACGGATGATCTGTAGAGAGGTATGGGGAAGAACATAGTGAGCAAAACCCAGTGTTTCTTGAGCCACAATTGACCCTTTGTGAGGAGAACTTGGAAGATGTTCAGCCTCACAGGCAAGAAAGGAACATGGAGCAGTCTTGTACTGAGTCACTGCCTTACATATTGCTTTGCCCAGCCTAGTTCTGTGTACTCTGAAGGGCAGTGGCTCTCTGGGGACCCAGACAGAGGTTTCCCTTAACTCTACTACCTGAGACCCCTTCGACTCAGGAGTAGCTAACCTGGGTCCCTCCAGAGGTTGCTGAGCTACAACTTCTCTCTGTCCTAGCCAACACCCCGTCATGGACAGTGTGGGTTGTAGTCCAGCAACTTCTGAAGGACACAGATTTTCTCACCCATTTTATCTGGAACTGACACACTCTGTCCCACACAATCCCACGGGTTGTGCCCCTTCATAAGGGCCACCTTTTATCCTTTGGGTGGCACGTGCTAGGCTAGAAAACCAGAACTCGCTCAGACTTTGTGATATTTCCAGCACTGTTCATGTTAAGAGGAGGAGCACGCTGGGTTCAAGGGCACACTTGTCATGTAATCCTTCGCAGAGCAGAAGTGCGACCATCTAACCCTAGGAAGTTCCATCACATAACTCCTGCATTGCTCCTCGCTGCTATTCTGTGCTGATGTTTTGCTGTTGGGTGTTCTTGTGCTTTCATTTTATGATTTTGACGTAAACTGTACTTGTTTAATTGTCACATTTTTTTGTCATCCGCTGCGGGACGGTTTCAAGGAAGGTGGACTTATAAGTACAAACACCTAGTAAATAAATAACCGCCTACTCACCTCTCTCTTTCTTGGCGGACAGAGAAAGACTGGACAGATGAGGACCGTGTGAGGGAGAAGGTGCTGATGCAAGAACTGGTGACCATTATTGAGCAGCGGAACGCCATTGTCAATTGCTTGGACGAGGACCGGCAAAGGTAGCAGAAGGGGGAGTGGTTGGAAATGGCCTGCCTACTTCTAAATAACAGGGCTGGGGTGACTGTAAAGCTGGCTGTAATTGCATGGCCCCAAATGCCATTTTTATAGTGAACATCTTCCCTAGACAAGACACAAGAGCTTTGTCCAAGGGAGCTGGTGCTAGGAGCTTGCCCAAAGATGTGGTGCATTTGGGATCTGAAAAAATGGCTTTCCTACTTGGGCCAAGGATGGTGAACCTGTGGCCTGTCAGTTGTTTCTGGACTACGGCTCCCATCATCCCTGACCATTGGCCATGATGGCTGGGACTGATGGGAGTTGGAGCCCAGCAGCTTCTAGGGGAGGGTCATAGGGTCCTATCCCCCAGCATAGAAACTATTGGCTGGGCAGAATCGGGAGAAGAGCAGCTTCTTGTGTTCTATGGCATAATGACATCTTTTTAGAAGCTTCACTTCAACTGTTCTGGCAAAGGCCGAATCTTACTATTCCTTCCCCTTGTTTTACCAGGGAAGAAGAAGAGGACAAAATGCTGGAAGCCATGATTAAAAAGAAAGGTAAGCGAGGTCCAGGAGTTAAGGCATTGGTTCCTGAATATTCTTTATTAAAATATTTCTAATTCACCTTTCATTTAGATAGTTAAAACGACTGTTAACCAGGACACAGTGTGCTTATGTGTCCTTTCCATACTGAACACACTAAAAGTATGCACCCAAGCAATTTGAATTCTGCTCCAAGGAAAGCTGAATTGTATGACTTAAATGCAAAATTAAGTAAATTTGCATAATTTTTCTTATTTTTTGTAATCCTGCTGATCACTCAGGAAAGTAGCCTTCTGCTTGCAGATGCAGTAGGGGCAGGAAGCCGAGGTGGAGGGAATTTGGGATGGAAAGGATGTCAAATGCTCCTCAGCTTTCTCGCCAAACTGCCTTTGGCCATGGGTAGTGCATGCACGTTCCCTCGGTTGTTGAGGAATATCGCTCCCAGCACAGGGCAGCACATAATCATTATAGCCCAGGTCTTGTTCTTCATCTCGAAAGCAGTTGCAATACAGAAGGAAGAATCTCTGAGACATTGCACCTAAATCTGAATCCTTCCCTCTTAATAGTTGCCTGGGGGGCAAAGGGAATCTAAGCTTTCCCTTCCCTTCTGAAGCAACTATTTTAGAGGAAGAATGAAAGCCATGGAAATTCTTTCATGGATGCATGCTTGTTTTTGCTAATTTGCTAATTTAGTCTGGTTTTGCTAGCCACAGGGCAGGGCAAGAAACTATGCAAGGCACTGAAAGCCCTGCCCCTAAACATAGGAGATTCAGTCTCCTTTATGGCTTCTGAGATTTTAACTCTGCATTTTCAAGCATTTTCTTCACATCCAAAAAGGCTAGAAACCTTTTTCTGTCCTCTTGGTTTCTTTTTTCTTTTAATCGGGAAACTAAATTCAGTGACTAAGAAAACATTATGGGTTTTTTCTGGACTCCTGCAGAATGGCAGGATATACGTAGCTTTGGGATCAACCCTGAACACCCAGGCATAATTCCAGCTTGAGACTGTATCTAATACAGTCATCTAACACACCCTTTAGGTGCATATTTGTTTTGGCAAACAGCAAGGGTCACAAATCTATTTAGTGGTTGCTATTCCTCCCTTTTTTGCATTTTTCCACAGGTGATGATCTTCCTTTCTCAATCCCTTGCAGAATAATAATAATTCCAGATTCTGTAAACAATGCTTGCCCTGACTTGACAAATGGCCTGTTGTCTGAAGCATGCAAATAAACAGATTTATGCTAATTTAGCTAATGTAATCCCTTGAGGCATTTGGATTTTCTGGTTACTGAATCTAATTTTAGTATAGAACTGTAGCATCCATGATGTTACAAGCATTTGCCAGGGTATGCTTTGTGTAGACTTGTTGCATGGAGATCCTGGTATATATGGGAGGGCTTTAGCCCATGTTCAGTCCCTGGCGTCTCCAAATAGTGTTGGCGTCTCCTGTCTGAAACCCTGGAGAGCTGCTGCCAGTTGCTGAGCTCCTGTCTGACTCAGCTGAAAACAGTTTCTTACCTTCCTCTCTTGCCCAACCCCAGGTGCATTCCACAGAAAGTGATCACTGTACTTTCTCTCCCCCCCTCCCTCCTTTCTCCAGAATTTCATAAGGAGACTGAAGCCGAGAGCAAGAAGAGAGGGAAATTCAAGCCCATGAAAGTGTTGAAACTGCTTGGGAACAAACATGAGTCAAAGAGCAAGTCGCCCAAGGAGAAAAGCTAAAGCAGGAGGCAGCCAGAAGCGGGGAGGGACAAAACCGGTCCTGTTTGGCCGGCCACCTGGCAAATGGGGCTTCTGCCTCCTGCCCCTTCCCTGCCCTGCCTTCCCGCCGCCACCACCAATGCTGTGCCTCGCCATACACCAAAGCTGGCTTCCCTTGGAGAAGTTCCATCAGCTTCCATCAACAGAAGCTCCTTTGCCTAGTAAAAGGGGAGAGAGGTGGGGCAAGCCTAGTCAGCACTGAAATTGTTGGAGGGACAGACTGGAGGAGGAAGCTACTTGTCTCTTCGGCTTCTGGGTAGGGGTGGGAAAGTGAAATAGCTATAGGCTTCCTCGGTTGTATGTGTGTACTTCTTTACTGGTTCTGAGCAGTGCAGAATTTGGGTGTCTGTGGGAAACTTGCACTAATTGTCCCCCTCCCGTCTCTCAACTGTGATAGTCACATGTGCCTCGTACCCCTCTCCTTCGGGGAGGAGGAGACTTTCCATAGTAGTCCAGGGACGGGGACTCCTCTCCCCTGCTCCAAATCCCTTTTCTCATTAGCCTGCTAGTCAGAAATCCCACTTGGGTCATTTGGAAAGGTTTTGGGCTTTTGGAGCATGGTTAATTTTTTTGTTTTGGCTTAAAACTGTTAAAACTGAGTATCACGGGAAACGCTTCCATGCCATAAGAGCGGATAGAAACAGCCAAGAGCCTAACCAGTGGCCTATTTCTCTCCTGCTGCCAATGTGCTGCGAATGCTGAATCTCTTGGAAACCGTTTTTAGCAATGCAGGGAGGAAAGCTTAAGGGGGTTGGATTTTCATGTACTTGGTAAGGTCTGAATCGGACACTCACTGGGCCTTTTCACCCTCTTGGTTGCTGCTGCTAAATTTCATCCGTGGTGCTCTTCAAAGGGACACAGTGGGATGGGAAAAGGTCCAACGTTCCCCTCCACTGTGAGGGCATAAGATCTCATGCTGTACTCAATGCCAACAAGGTTCCCTTTTTGCCTTGTTCACCAGTGCCACCCTTAGCCCATTTGGGAGGGATTCCAGCTGCTCCCCCCTCGGCTTGACATGTATATACTTTCCTAAGAGTGCAAGAGGGCTCCTTTCTATACTGCTTCCTTAGCTTGAATTTCCACCTCTCCCTTCCAGCTTTGTTTTTATTTGTTTGCGTGTGTGTGTGTTTGCGTGTGTGCTGGGAGGGAAGGGGCCTTCCCACCTTCCTTTCTGCCTTCTCCTCCGAGTGGAGGAGCTATTTATTGAGATGTTTGTTTGGTCTGAGTTAAACACTGATAGTATTGTAGGTGTTGGTTAGTCAGCTGTTAGTCTTGGGTTCTTGTTAGCAGAGTAGACTACCAGCCCAGAGCAAATTGCTGTGCTGCCTTATCCAAATATGATGGAATGTTTGGCCAGTCCCTGGCTATGACGCTCAGCCTACGCTGTCCCAGAAGGGGATCTGAGTTCATCAGTGTTGCCAGCGCTAGTTCGGGGCCTTGTTATCAGTCCCCACAAGTGGATGACAACCTCCTGCTGAATCCTGCTCTCCACAGAAAGGCCACCCTGGGGTTTGATCCCAGAGCACAACATTCCCCTCTAAAACGAAACTGTTACAAAATCCCACCAGAGACGCTCCCATCACAAATTCCCCTAGCCCTGATGGACAGAATTACACTGTATTAACCACAATCTCCACTTACACGCAGGGAACAAACAAATGAAATAAAACTATTGTATTTAGCAACAGTGTTGGTGTTTATTTCTCCGTTTTGAATCACAGTAGAAACAAAACAGACCCTCTCTTATAAAGGTAGTCCCAGGGCATATAAAATAGAGAAGTCTCAGGTATATATTTCATACAGTCTTGTTTTTAAAAATAATAATCTGAGAAGAGTATATGAGGGGTAAACTAGCCTTGAGGGGGCAGCTGTTTTCTGTTTTCACACTTCTGCCCCACAACTAAACTGGAGTGGGTGTTCTTTTTACAATAAAAGGTAAGGGGAGCTGGTTGCCTCCTCCCTCCCAAATTTACCTCTTTCCACTCTTGTCACTTCAGGCATTTGCCCTGGTTCCAATACCAACCATGAGCTAAACAGGCAGAAAATGTTTCAAGTGACCGAGCACAGTGAGTTAAAGCAAATAAGGTATCAGCCCTCCTTGGCCCCAGCTTTAGTCATGAATGGGGTAGGCCTGAGACTAAACAAACATGGGTGTCCTCTGTTATATCTAGGTTGGTCCTGACATGTTCCTACATGCTCCCAATCTCGCTGAGGTCGCCATAAAATTAAAAACAAGTCCTCTCAGTGTTCTTACTAGCTCTGAAGCAGCAGGCACCATTATTTGTCAGGTATAATTGTATACAAGATTGTAAGAGACGGCAGCATTAACTTTCAGCTTTCACCGGAAAACATGTGAAAAGTAAAGGATATGAGCTTAGACAGAAGCTTTTGACCCAAACACTTCCTATAATAGGCTGTTGTGATTTTAACAAGCAGAAACACAACCTTCTAGAAAACTGCATACTGCTATGCTTCACATTGAGACTAGATAGGTGTGTGGAAGTTCTACCCCTTGCTGGTCTGTTTAAAGAGGAAATGCCCATTCATGCCCTTTATTGTAGCCAGGCATTAATCCTATGGCAACTTTTAAACCACACCCTTGAAAAGGCCTCTTGCTGTTAAAGACTATGAAAATAGAATATTTTGAGTTCCTGCAAAAACAAAGCCCTGGGGGCACTGAAACTCTTCAATTTGCCACTTAAGGACTAAGAGGCATTTCTGAAACTGTCTTGTGGAAAGCCTAGTTCTGGCACCCTTGTGCAATAATCATGTGGAAAAGGAAAAGTGGAAAAGGACTACTGGTCTTCTTGACTTGTGCATTCAGGGTCAGGTTTGTTGCCTATATTGAAGGATTTAGCCATTGCCTCTTTCAGTTCTGCACTCCTCTGTTTGTCGATGATCTCCATCTCTCGAACCTTCTGCAAAAAGCAGGGGTAGGGGAGGCAGTGAGAATTCCAGACACTTTCATCACAAAATCACATGCAACGAGTATCAGAGATTTACTCCCACCCCTGTAGCATTTTTTAAAGGACCTTCATGTCTTTCATATACCTGTCGGTCAATCTCTTTCCCCACCTTCTCAAAATACATTATGGCCAGTTATCAGACTAGAACAGTAATGCTCAGTACTATACATGACAGAATGTCCAAACCAGAAGAGGCCACATACCTGTGATATTTCAGTGAGGATGATCCCTCGGTACAATTTGCCTTGTCCTAGGGCCTCCATTTCTTCCAGAAACCTCTTTCGATCTTGAACTTCATTAACCACTGAGCATTTTATTTGGGGGGGGGGGGAGAGAGAAAATGAAACAATGGAATGAGGGAGCCTGAAGGCAGGAACACATAAGTACTCCCGGAACTCTGACTCATCCAATTTCCTAATTACTACACATATTGTATTCATTTTTAGTATGCTCTTTAAACTTGGAAAGGACCATTGCTCTCTTGGAAAGAAAGCTTGATGACTGAATTGGTTTATTTACATGTATGAAAAGGAAGTGCCTAATTAATTTGTCAAATTTGCTTGCAATAGAAAAGTGGCGGTCAGAGCCTTTGGTAACTTTAAAATGGGACTGAGCAAATTTATGGATATCAACTTGCTGGCGTCCAATATACGTCAACCCCAGGCAGCATGGCTCAAGGGCCAGGAAGATGGGTGTGGTGCCCTCCAGATGTTTTGGACTACTCACTTGGTGAAGGCTGAGCTATAATAACTAAATAGGAACTCCAAATTCAGAGGAGCTGAGCATATAAATTCTATTTGCTGTGGTTGGAGGGCAACAAGTACAGGCCAGCAGTTGCTTGCCAGAATGTTAGATTGGATGGCCCTTACGCTGATCCAGCAGGAATCTTTCATCGGAGCATTTATATTCTGCCCTTCTAGTTTTGATACACCACATTGGGGTGCCTTAATATACATTAAAAATACAATTCTATTTAAAAATGGTATAAAACAATTACTTTAAAAAATGGTAAACAATTACAAATATTGTAAAAATACTGTCCTAAAAATTTAAAATAACATTTTGTTTCCTTTTTATTTTATTTTTATTTATAAAAGTATTTAATTTTATACCATCCTCTCACCAATCATCAGAGCAGTGTACAGCCCTGTTTATGAATGGCTTTTGCCTGATCACCACCAATCAACATATTTGAATGCAGAGGAAAATATGCATAGCTTTCCCAACTTGCATGTATGTATATCACCTACTCAGCATGTTTTCCAAATCAAATATGAGAATATTCCCCCGCACCATTGGCAGATACTTTTCAGAATGAGCTCATCTCAAGGTGTTTGATGCCACAGCTGTCACTGGCACTGTGAAGGTGTTCCCATGCACATGGGATGCACCTCTGGGGCTCCTAAACTAATGGGGGGTCTGCAGTGTGAATTCACTTTACACGGAGGACACAAGCCCACAATACATGTGCTGTTTCTATTGTGGCAGGAGTTCATTTAACAAGGAAAACTAGGCTGCCTGTCTAGTCTGCTTGTATATTTGGACAGCTTTACTGAGTCAGGTCTGCATTGTATGTGCTCAGACGTGACTTGTAACTCATTATACCCATCTTAAATATGTATTACTCTTGTATCAGACTGCTGTAGTGGCATCACGGGGAACAGAGGGCACCACTGACCAAAGCAATGCTTATGGGGTAGAATTTGTCCTGCACTCTATAGTTCCTACTTAGTGAGTGAGGTAACCTTATATGACAAGACACAATAAGGGAGATTTCTTTACTTAGGGCTCTCCCTGAACCCAATAATACAACTCTTACTTTCCTCTGACCAGTTCCTATGCTTCAGAATGGGAGAGCAGCCTCCCTACCATACATAGAGCACCAGATCACTGCTTTCAACCAAGGCAATCCATTGTACATACATTCTTCAAACCGGTCTGGTTCTGGGACCTTCTCTTCTGCCTTGACTGGCTCTTTCTTCGGCTTTTTTTCAACTTTGTCCTTTCCTGTTGCAAAAATGTTTTGGAGTCTTTCCTTCTCCTTCTCCAGGTCTCCTACAAATGCCAAAGCAAGCAGATGATGTACAACATGTGGGAGAAGTGCTTTCTTCTATTGCAAGCTCTTCAGGCAGTTTCTGTGCTAGATATTCAGAGCTCCTACAAAGATGTCTGCATAGGAGACTTCTCAAAATCAGGCACCACAGACTGTAGGCTGCAGAGGCCATGCATCATGAAAATGACAAACATTTTGGGTAGAAGTTCTGACACAAATCAATCAGCAATGGTAATGTGAAACAACCTGAACACAGCAAGGTATGGCAGGCACCAAAACTGGTAAGAGGAGGGCAGAGGTTGCAACACAATCCTATTCATATTTACTTGGCAGTAAGTCCCACTATGTTCAACAGGGCTTGCTCCCAGGTAAACATGCATAAAGCTTGTAGCCTTAGTAATGGAAACTAGATTCTATTAAGCTTTTCAGAGGAGAGGTGTGAAAACTGATTTAACACCTGGAAAATTTCAGTGTGTGGTCTAAAAATTCTGCTGAGCTTTCACAAACAGGAACTTTCATAAACGTTACTGCAAAGAAAACTTGTGAGCTACTGCACTGCAGTGGCTAGGAGCTGGAAGCCAGGAATTTCCCAGTTCAAATCCTGCCCTCAACCATAAACTTATTGGTGGCCCTAGGCAAGTCACTTATCCATCAGCTTCAGCACAAACACACCCACCCATTGCACATGGAAGGACTGTTAATGCTGGCCTGACAGGGCTGTTGTGAAGAGCACTAAATCCATTTTACATTTTGAAGCGCTACATAAATGCAAAATGTTGGCAGAGTTACTTAACTCCCATTTCAAAATTAGCCTCCTGGGAATGTTATCATTTGCAAAGGTTTGCTTCCTTACGGGTGGCCTGGGGCCTGAATTTCTCCCGGATGTATGCATCGCCTGCCCGGCACATCTCAGCAGGCCGGAGACGAGGTCTTCCATATGGACTGATGGACAAAAAAGCCTTTGGTGGCGAGACAGGCTTGGAAAGCTCTGGTTCTTTGCTGGATGTTGGGTTGCATTTATCAGGAAGGGAGTCACCTCCTAAAGAAGGAAAGACCAAGAGCAGAAGATCAAGGAAGGAGATCTTGTGACTTACTGATAGAAGTAAGTGAATGTAATCCGGAGGCTTCAAAGGTATACCTGGTAAAAACCAAGCATTTCAAGAGCTCAGATTTGAACCAAAGGCCTAACACAGCCAAGCAGATGCAGTGCTCTACTCACAACCTCTCAGCAGCGGCTCTGGCAATTGGTTTGGCTGCAAATGCATGGTGCAGCATGGTAGATGACATTTAACATTCAGAATCTTTTGATTCTCTGCTTTTAATAAAAACTACCCAAATCTAGTTTTACAAATCTAGTTTTACAGTATATGCAGTGACCAGAACAATAAAACAGCCTTTATTATGTCTCTACAGAGACAGCTGGATAGAACTAGTATCTGTTAGGGAATCATCCATGACTCATTTCCACTTACGTTCTGTATTACTGCTTGAGTCAATGCTAATTTCCTTTCCAAAGGGATGATTTGTTTGTTTGTAAATGGATAACATGAATGTGACTAAACCGTATTTGGACTAGTAACAACCAACAACCCAGCAGCAATGCTAAGTGTAACGGCAAGGCTGAAATTAGACATAACTCACGCTTTATGCAGTTTGTGAGATGACGTTGCTGGAAGTTGGTAAGTTTGGATTCTTGCATCATCACTGAAAAACAGAAGCTATCTGTAAATATCATGGCCTGAAAATTCCTAAGACATCATCACCTTCACAGGATTAGTTTTAACATAAACAGGAAGAGCAATGGTCCTACAGATTCTTAAAAGATCTTAGGTAACGTGTGTGGGTTTTTTTTTTGGGGGGGGTTAAAGTATATACAGCAAAATAACTACTTAAATCTTCAAATGTGTGATTTGCCATCAGCTCCCACTGATCTCAATAAGTGGAATTCTTGGGTGAAATGGTGATGACTATTTGAACTTTTCAAGAGGCCCCCAAATGGAATAATTGATTTCCCCCATATTTCTGAAAAATAATACAAATATTTTAAATACCTTCTGAACCACAGAAATCCAAAGGAAAGAGACACTTTGAGTTTGTACTGGATCTTTCATTTTAAAAAGTATTATTCAGAATAATACAGAATAATATACAGAAGCTTTTTTTCTTTTCTTTTTACACAAAATTGCAGATCAGTTTAGAATCTGTTTCCATTAAAACTTCAGTGGACAGCAGCAGTGAGAGAAAGCCAATCTTTGCCGATAAGGAGCTAACTGCAGAGCATGGCAAATGGGACACATGCACTCGTCCTCATGCGTTGGGAGCTTGTGGTAGTGTGCCAAAAGCTGGTTCCACTACATTGTGGCAGGTGTGGAAATCCTTCCTGGCACATGCTAGGCAAAGAAGGGACTTGACGTAGGTTTGTTTCTGTAGTCAAAACAAAAAAAATTCCTTCCAGTAGCACCTTAATTTTTTTTATTTTTTTTAAATTTTTTTTTTGTTTTGACTATGGCAGACCAACACGGCTACCTGTTTGTTTCTGTAGTCATCGTTTATGAAATTGGTTGTGAAACTAGGCCTTTACTTTATAATACCGGTTTGCACTTTCAACACCATTAAAAATTATTTGTATTATGACGTAATATATATTCTTTGGCTTGTGCTCTTAAGTGTAGACTTGGATAAAGAGGGCTAAATCAGAAGTGTGAGAAGCCCACAAACTAGATAACTCTGAAATGCAAGTCAATTTTCTTGCACTTATACAATAAAACTCATGCCATGTGGATATGCCATGCCATGTGGATTGTATTTTTAATCTTTGTTGGAAGCCGCCCAGAGTGGCTGGGGAAACCCAGTCAGATGGGCAGGGTATTAATAATAATAATAATAATAAATTTTATTTGTATCCCACTCTCCCCAGCCAAAGCCAGGCTCAGAGCAGCTAACATCATATAAATAAGACAATATGCATAATACAATATACAATATGCAAATCAAATAACATTGAACATTCATTAAAATAATATAGAATATTAAACATCAGCATTTAAACAGAAATCCACTCAACAGTTACAATAAGTAATCAATAAAACAACAGCAAACCACAGTGCACAACATAATACAATACAAAATGAAAAGCAGAGACTGGAGGGTGGAGCAAGGCAGGTGGAAAGAGGCCTTGCCTGATAGAGTCTCTCCCCTCACAGTTCTTCCTCCAGGCACAGTTTACTTATGAAGAATCCCAGGGCCAGGGGGTGGGGCAAGGCAGGTGGAAAGAGGCCTTGCCTGATGAAGTCTCCCCCCTCACCTTTATTATTATTATTATTATTATTATTATTATTATTATTATTATTATTGGCTCAAGGAAAACCTGTAGCACGGCGGTAGTATGCATGATGTTAGCCCCTTGTTTGTCCAAGCAGTCTGGGTAAGACTCTTGCCTGAAACCCTGCAGAGCAGTTGCCAGTCAGCACAGAGCAGTGGTGGGGCATCTGTGGCCCTCTAGATGCTGTTGGGCTCCAATTCCCATCAGGCCCAACCAGCATTGACAATAAACAGGAATGGTGGGAGTTCAGTAACATCTGGAGAGCCCCAGATTCCCACCCTGCATACAATCTTTGCAGACAATACTGATTGAGATGACTCAATGATCTGACCTGGTAGAAAGCACCTTTCAGTGTTCATGTAACTGCAGAGACTTTGCTGTATCTGCACTTGCTGTTGCCCGAGGTGTAGACAGGCCGCAAAAGAGGGGCGATGAGTGCTAGATGGACTGCAGATTGTGATAGTAAATGTGGATCTACAATCTCAAGGACCTATGTGCGTGGGAATGCATTTATACAGGGCAGCATGGCCAAATGATCTGGTGCACGAAGCAGGGTACAGAGTTGCTGGGCAAGGTCTACGAAAGCTCAGTCTTGTTCTAATATCTGCTTAACAGCCTTAATTACCTTTCAACAGTTTCTGTGTTTCCTGGCTATATTCGGTTACAATGGGAACATGCCAGAATCCGGAGCCTTTTGCCACAGCAGGTGTGGTCCTTTCTCGGGCAGCCATTGCAGCACCTTTAAAAGAAAGGTAGGGAAATGCATTTTCTGCATTGGTTAGCACTACAGCTCTAAGACATATTCCATCACCAAATATAGTTTTACAAATAAACGTTGGTCAACATCAACAAATTTTACCCTTTCACCATGCTGTCAGGTACTACTGAAAAAAAGATGGGGAGTGAAAATTATTCTTTGAGAAGTTACAGGTAATGGTTGAAATGAATTCAGGATTTGATTGCCTTATATGCAGGCCAGTCCTATGCATATTTACTGGCTACTGGTTGCTAATGTGCTTCCAGGCCATATTCATGGTGCTGGTTTTAACCTTGAAAACCCTTTGTATTCCATCATTGAAGGGGATGGGAACCTCAGTTGGTAGAAGCAGATTTGTTTACAGCATTTGCTCTCATCCTGAATAATGATCTCAGACCTGAAAAGCTGCAAATCATTGGCTTACTTTAGAAAGACATGAGGCTTTCAAATGGCTTTTGGTTTGGGGGGACAGGAGGCAAATTACAAAAAGCAGCTGATGCTGTTACAGTTCTGTGTTTTTTTTAGAACTGTGTTTGAGATGCTATTTTAAATATTGATTAATTTCTTATATGCTTCTCTTACGAATAAAAACACATAAAAACTCAGAAATCAGCCCTTCAGACTTCAGTGGGACTTAGTACCAAGTAAGATCTAAAGGGCTGTCACACAGAAGATTGAGAAAACTTGTTTTCTCCTGCTCTGGAGGGTAGGACTCAAGCCAATGGATTCAAGTTACAAGAACAGATATTCTGACCAGTGTTACAAACTGAGATATGAAAGCTAGGAGCTAAATGGCACCTTAAACTTAGGTTATGGGCACCGTAATGGAGTGTCTAGACACACTTTTTAATAAGAATACAAAGCTGAAAATGAATGAACCACAGCTAAAATCTTATGCTCATTTTTCACATGGTTTAGTCCTCATCTGAAGGCTGCAAAAAACAAAGCCATACTTTCCCTGCCCACCCTCCCAATATTCCTATGAGGGTCCTTTCTCCAGTATTCAGAAAGTGGCTGGAAGTGAGGAGGCAGAAAAAAGGGCCCCTTTTTCTTCCAGCAGTGGCAGTTTTAATCTGAAATTATGTACTGCGCCCAGAGCTCAGAAACTGTTCACATTAATGAAATTCCCTGTCGCAAAATGCGCCTAGAACAATGGGAGTTCCGAATGCTGATTCCGACTAAACATCAGGAAGAATATTATGATGGTAAGAGCTGTTCAACAATGGAATGAACTCCCTCAGAAGGTGGTGAACTCTCTTTCATTGGAAGTTTTTAAGCAAGGGTTGGATGGTCATCTGTCATGTGATGGAGGGCTGAACTAGCTGATTCTTTGGTCTCTCCAGCTCTATGATTCTAGGAAACCAAATATTTCAGGTATTATTGGACCATATGAGTTTCTCATGCTGAGGCTGTATACACACCATATATTGAAAGTCGACATGCCCCCCCACCGCAACTGTAGTTTGTTAATGGTGCTGGAACTGCAGCTCAGTGATGGCTAAACTACAGTTGTCGTAATTTGGGACGTGGGGAGGCGGAGGCACTCAGCCAGAATTTCTCACAAGACCAATTTAAAGACAAAATGATTATCTTTATTATTTTATTTTATTTTATTAAATCTGTATACCACCCTTCATCCGTAGGTCTCAGGGCAGTTCACGGTATAAAAAAACGAGATAAAAACACGTTTCATAAACAGTAAAATACAAAGCAGCAATCCCAAAAGGGAACACACAGCCCCTCGTGCATGTTGCTGCAATATTCCGCGTACATTTCTTATTCCTGACTCGTTCTAGGGGGCATTTTGGCATCGCACGTGACGCCACGGAGCAGCTGGTTACCTCGAAACAACGGAGGGACTACCCTCTTTTCTTCCCATCCGCCTTACATATACCGTGGTCGCCCCCAATTCCACCCTTTTACCTTTAAAAGAAAAAAGTTCCCTCATAGGATCTTAATTGTTCCCTTCATTTGTAGGGGTAAGACGAATCCCTCACATCCTCCTCCTCCTCTTGCCCGAGCTGGCGGCTCCCGTCGCCATAGCAACCGCCTCCTGCGTCCACTTCCGGTGACGTTCAGCTACGACCCGGAACGACTTGCGCCTAGAAAAAAATCGTTGCCAGTAGAACGTTTGCGAGGCTTGCGCGCGGCGGCCCGGGTGCCGTTTGGGGTTTCTTGGCTCCCTCGTGCTGGGCGCCTCGCTTCTCGTCGGAGCCTCTGGTATCGCGAGAGGTCGCCCCGAACCCGGAAAAGGCGCAGCATGTCTGACAACGAGGATAAGTAAGAAACCCTCGTGAGGGGTGGGGTGGGTCGCTGGGGTTTCTGTAGGCAGCAGCGGTGGTATTTACGCAGGGCGCTTATTTTGTGCTGTGCCGCCGGATTCCCAAATATTGAACTCCATTATTGACATTATTCTTATTACGTCCTCCTTCCAAGGAACTCAGGGCAGCCTACCTGGTTATTCCTATCCACATTCCATCCACACAACAACCCTGTGAGGTAGGTTAGGTGGAGAGATAGGGGACTGGCCAAAACTCAACCAGTGAGCTTCATGGCTGACCAACAGTTTTGTGGTGGTGATGGCCACAAAGGTTCGATGATTTTTAAAAGAGGACCGACCAAATTCATGGAGGATAAGGCTGCCAGTGACTATTGTCCACAGTGGCTATGCCCTGCTTGCCACAGTTGTCAGCAGTACTGGCTTTGAATACCAGTTTTGTAGAACTACAGGAGGGGAGCATGGGGTTTTTTTTTTTGAGGGGGGAGCAGGACTTTTGTTAGGGGAGAGGGCAGAAGCGATGTGATTGGTCAATTGGTTAAGTATTTCTATTATTTTACAGTGGTACCTCAGGTTACAGACGCTTCAGGTTACAGACTCCACTAACCCAGAAATAGTACCTCGGGTTAAGAACTTTGCTTCAGGATGAGAACAGAAATCACCTGGTGGCATGGCAGCAGTGGAAGGCCCCATTGGCTAAAGTGGGACCTCAGGTTAAGAACGGACCTCCATAACGAATTAAGTTCTTAACCCAAGGTACCACTGTACTTTATCTGGGGAGGGGGGGCAGCTTCCCTCTCTGCCCCCTTTGGCTATGTCCATGGAGGGGAGAGCAGTCTTGTGCTCAAATCCAGATTTTGGTAGGTGGTGGTTGGGTTCTTTTCTTTCCCTTTTTCTTATACTGCATTCAGGTGAAAAAACCTGAAAGGCTGTGATTTGTCTCTGGTCGTTCTTTAAACTAGTTGCCAAGCTGAAACATAAGCCAAGCAGTCAGTTCAAACTCTCAGAAATTAATATGACTATTAGCACATTTCTTCCAAACCATGCTCATAAGTTTCTCACCTCACATTATGTATAGTATTTTGAACTGGTCCCAAGTGTCTTAGAAAAGTTGGAAGGAATCCAGTGGCCTTGAAGCAGGACTAGTGGCCCACAAACTTTGACTAGCCACTACTGCATGTTGCCACCAATCTTTCCCCAAGTCTTCTGCGATATGCAAAAGATTCATGCTGGGATTTGGAGATTCTTGGAAGATGTATGAGAGCTGTGATGGCAGGTTTCAGTTCTCCAATCTTGGAAGCCTTGGCAAAGGAGATGAGTTGAACATATTTTGTTGATGATTTTGCAAAGGGAATCTTGCTGTTAGTAAAGTTTAAGCAAGATACAGTAACTAGCCAATTCCACAAAAAGTTATTTGAGTATTTAGTGGCTATTATGAAAACAAGCAAGAGAGTATTTGAAGACAGTGATGTAGTAAGATTTGAGCTCTGAAATTTTATATAAGCCTTTGATACATTTCTTCCTCCAGTTTTGATGGAGATGATTTTGATGATGTGGAGGAAGATGAAGGACTGGATGATCTGGAAAATGCTGAGGAGGTAAGTGACTTCAGTATATGGTGTCCTATAGCCTATGTAAACATCCCAACATTTACCTGCAGTTCTTGTATCTGTGTCTGTAACCTGTACCTGAATGGTTCCTATGCCCAACAACAACAACTCCGCCAAAACTCATGTGATAAGAACTATAGAAAAAGATTAGGGAATAAGTTCTGATCTATTAAGGTGAACATATCTCATAGCCTTACCTTTTTTTGAAATGGTAAAACTTAGCCTTCTGTGTTAATCAAATAAATACTTCTCTCTAATGGTTTTCCTCTTTCAGACCTTTATTTTAATATATTTTATTGAAATCTTCTCTGTAGATTTGAATTTGATCTCAAGTGGCTCTAACAACTAATACACATATAACTCTGTGAATATGGCTATAATTCCTTATATTTGAGTTACAGGAGGGTCAGGAAAATG